ATACAATAGATAAAGTAGAGAATATAGAACAAGTTGTTATAACTGATAATAGATGTAAGAAAGTATGCTATTTTGTTTTAGAATTAATTAAGTTTGTGATACAATATATTAAAAATATAAATATTAATATAGATGTGAAGAAAGAAAAAGAATAAGACTGAACCAGTTGTTTCTTCAACTGATGAAGAAAAAGAAGAAATTGTTAAAGAAACATCAGTTATTGAGCTTGCTTGCCCAATGTGTAAAAAGATGTTAGAAATGAAAAATGAATTAGAAATACAAAAGAAAGGAAACTGTAAATGTTCGTGTATTGCAGGCAGTTGCAAAATAAGTAGAAATGATAAGAAAATGAATATTGATAAGACTAAAGACAGTATAAATTTAGAAACAGATGTTCATAATATTGCCATACGCTTTGGGAGGGGAGTTACTCCATCCGACAATGGTGATAAGGAAACTCAGGAAACTGTTAAACAAATAATGAAAAATGTATTTAAAGAGTAGATTTAACATAATTGCAAAATTTAGTTTTAAAAGTTTAGTTTTATAATTTAGTATATATTTACATGGATGAAGGATTCGAAAAGATTGTTAAAAAACTGAACAAGGTTTTAGAACAGAATAAGAATATTTTAGAAATCTTGCAAGAAATGGAAAAGAAGAAACCTTTAACAAACAGCTATCAAAGTAAAGAAGTAGATAGAACCAGTGGTGAGTATAAAAATAAAAGAAATTTTTATTTAAACAAACTTAATAACAAAGAAATTAAAGAACCGAAGTCTTCCACTATGACGTTTTATCAAATTGACTATGACGAGGAAACGCAGCTTTATTCATAAAGTTGCATTTACTCATTGAAAACTAAACATAGTTTAGTTTTTAACGAGGAATCAGGGATGTATTCATAGATAATAATATTATCCAAATATCTTTAATAATGAACTTATTAGAGATGTTTAGCGGAACAGGTAGTGTTGGACTTGTTGCAAAGTCGCTCGGTTTCAATGTTATTTCACTGGATTTGAAAAATGCGGATATAAATACTGATATTTTGAAATGGGATTATAAACAATTTGATAGGAACCATTTTGATTTTATCTGGGCAAGTCCTTCATGCGCGGAATACAGCAAAGCAAAAACTATGGGAATTAGGAATATTGAATATGCAAATAGTATAGTTTTAAAAACTATTGAAATTATCAAATATTTCAATCCTAAGTATTTTGTAATCGAAAATCCACAAACTGGATTATTAAAAAATCAGGAGTTTATGGATGAGTTTGATTTTAAAGATGTAGATTATTGTAAATATGGATTTAATTACAGAAAACGCACTAGGCTATGGAATAACATTACAACTTGGAAACCTAAAAGATTTATGTAAAAAGGATTGTGGCAACATCAGGAATAATAAACATATTGAAACTGCACACGTCTTCCATCAGGCACGAAGGAAAAATGGGGAGACAATCCAATAACACATAAACAGGAAGACCTATATAAAATACCTAGCGAATTAATTTGTGAAATCTTGGTGAGTTTGAATTAGGGTGGTTCATCACAACATCCACCATCATTGCCTTCATCGCGGATGAGGCGAGGCCTTTAAGGGGGACGCGCTCACACCAGAAAAGAACCAAACACACCCACACCCCAAAAACCACCGAGAGGGAAATCCGAAAGGGCAACCTAACGACCCCCCAAACACACACGCACCCAAACCCGAAGGCTTCCGGTCAAGCGCCCGACCGAAGATGAAGTCGAGCGTCGGCGCGTGCCAATACTTCTTGCATGATGGAAGCACAAACAAAGACGAAAGCCGCATTTAAGATGCTGAAACTGACATGCTGGATGCTGAAACTGACATGCTGGATGTTGAATCTGACATGCTGGGTGCATGCTGGATGCTGAAACTGACATGCCGGACGCTGAATCTGACATGCTGGACGCTAGATTTGAGATGCGGGGTGGTGCATTCCATCACACATGACCCTTGTGTGATACATCCTAGTCTGACATCTGCACATTCTGCAACGCGCCGTGAAAATTGTATAAATTGGAGAGATAATCAAACTTGAATGAAATGTGTGTTGAGAATAAAAGGAAGACATAATAGAAATGTAGAAGATGAGATTTTAATATTTCTGACTGGAAATAAAATACCACCTTATGATTATGTTAAACAGTTTCTTAAAATCAGTAAGAAAATATGACATGATTTATGATATATTATGGATGTTGGGCTATAGTCAAGAGAAAGGGGAAGATGTTAAAGAAAATACCAAACTATTTATTGAAAGTAAAAAGTTTAATATTCAAAACACATTGAGAGATATTAATATTATTTTTAAAATGATGTATGAGAAGTAAGACAAATCAATTAAATTGTTATCCTGTACTGAAATTATAATCAAAATATAAAAATAACATGTAAAATCTTATATGTTATAATTATACTATACTTATGGTTTGTAAAGATTGAAATATTTTATTTTTCCTAGTTTGCTTGACTCTTTCAAAGTGCGTTGTTTAGACTTGGTATGCTTCTTCAGTTTTTTCGTGCTTTGGCTGTTTGATTTTATTTTGTTTGATACTCTTCTGATATTTTTGTTGGTATGTTGCTTTGTTTTTTTGTTGCTGTGTGTTTTTGAGTTTGGGTTCTTTGATGGTTTTTATTTTTGTTGTTTTGTTGGTATGCTTTTTTGAATTATTTAATGTTGTATGCTGTGATTAAATATTTTTGTTGCTGGTTGTGATTATTTATTTTGTTTGCTTGTTGTTCTGGATTTTGTTTTCTTTTTGTTGTGTTGCTGATGGAGAAAAATAGTAAAAGTAGAATTCCTAGAATTCTCTTTTACTATTTTTCCCCTCCCCCCCCCCCCCCCCGGTCGTACGATGTGAAGTGAGCGTGGACGTAAACCCCCCCCCCCCCCTAGACGAGTTTGCGTCTTGCCACTCGTCGAAAATTGTCTCGAAAAAATGAAAAATGCAAAATTACCTGGTTCCCGGCACCGTTTTTCAGGGGCGTGATGTGTGGATGTACAGGTCTGCGGGAATGCGAAAGCTCAAAACACTGCAAACAAACATATAATTCATGCCATGGCATGAACAAAACATGACGCCCTGGATGATGATACATGGTCTGAAACGCACAAAACCACACGATCACCTGTGAGGGCGTTACCTACTACTATTACTACTACTACTACTACTACTACTATTACTAGTACACTACTACTACTACTACTACTACTATTACTACTACTACTACTACTACTACTACTACTACTACTACTACTACTACTACTACTACTACTACTACTACTACTACTACTACTACTACTACTACTACTCACTCCTACGACTACTATTACTCTTTACGATTACTACTACATAGTTTGACAACTACTACTACTACTACTACAACTTCTACTACGACTAAAGTACTACTACTACTACTATTACTACTACTACTACCACTACTACTTCTACTAGTAGTACTATTACTAAACTACTACTACTACTACTACTGCTACTACTACTACTACTACTACTACTACTACTACTACTCACTCCTACGACTACTATTACTCTTTACGATTACTACTACATAGTTTGACAACTACTACTACTACTACTACTACAACTTCTACTACGACTAAAGTACTACTACTACTACTATTACTACTACTACTACCACTACTACTTTACTAGTAGTACTATTACTAAACTACTACTACTACTACTGCTACTACTACTACGACTAAACTAACGGGCCGGATAATCCATTTTGCGATTGGGCTCCAAGGTCCGGGAGTACAAGGGCAACTTGGACCTGCGTAGCAGATCCATCAGCAGAATACACTCGCATCTCGAAGCCAAGCAAAGCAAGCTTGGAATGGTTGGTGCAGTGGTGTCAGATGGATCTCACGTGCCCCGTCGAGGGGTAAACCTCTGCTTGCTGATGTGCAAAGCAGTCCGTTGCCTGGTTCACACACACTCGGGACGACCAGAGACCAGTTGTGCTTGTGGGCCCATGCGGTCGTTAGCTGAACAAAGACCAGCAGGGCCACAAAAAGCCGAGCGCTGCTTCGCAGGTTGATTCTTGTTTTGTCACATGTGTCACACAGAAAGATCCGCTCGGGTCTCACGCACCGCTCAACATGAGCGTATACCCGCGAGGCTGCGCCCGCGAAAAAAAACATTGACTTGAAACAGTGAACAGGATTCTATCGCTTGGGGCCTTTTGTTTCCCCTGTGTTTTAATCCTGTTTGAATCTTCGGCCGCATTGCCATTTCTGCTTCAAGCCTTCTAAGGTCATGTTCTTGAGGGTTTGATCCCTCTCTTTTTCGATGCCCACCCGCCCACCCTGTCACCATCTCAGGTCGAACCTTGGGTGACGAGAACTCAGCACGCGCACGCATGTTCAGCTACTTAGCATCGGCATGCCTCCTGTTCGTTTCACGCCCCAGTAGGTAACAAACCTACAGTGAAGGTCGAACACGCGTTGTTGACCTGGGGGTATGCAAGCGGGCTCCGCATGGGATGCAGATGATATGGGATGGACACGCGCGTTGACCCTTGTTTTGTCACATGTCCTGGTTTGGCTTGAAGCAGTGAACAGGTTCCCAGTGTTGGCTGACGATGTGTTGTTTGACCCTCTTGGCACAGTTGATGCAACGCAACTGCGAGACAAAGAGGGCCTGGCTCGCGCATGTCACGAAAACAAGCTGAGGAATAAAGTGCGTCTAGCGCGTCATTTTTTTCCAGTTTTTTGTTCTTTGATTCCTCATTTTTAGCCGGCTTTAGGCCCATGAGCGCACGTACACTGCTTGATTTTGATGCGTGCGTTAGTTTGGACACAACTACGAAAGATGCGGTGCCCGAGATGACGCGTGTATCCCAATGCCCAAATCGCAAGCTGCCATTGAGAGTGGAAATTTGTTTCTTTGTGAACATTGTCACGCACGCAAGTTTCGAGATCTATTTCAACTGCCCACAAGAGCTTGCTGTGAAAGGCTCGAGACAAGGCAAGCATCAAAGGGAGCAACATGGCCTTAAACATCGTGCTGCACGAGGATTTGACCATGCGTGGCGGTGCGCAGATTTGGCTAGCTGACTGTGGGAAGCGCTTGTCCGAGGCGTTTCACATGGTGTTTGGACGTCAGTATGAAATTTTGTGAGCTTGAATTGTAAACGCTACAGCAATGATGGGATCCTTGGTTGATTGAACCATCTGTTCTTGTTGGCCCTCGTGACAGGCCGGTCACATCATCACGTTCATCCTGCCAGAGGAATCCCTGATTCTGCCGGATGTGGAGGCCTACGCGAATAAGGTGGTGAAGTATTCACACGAGAAGAGTGCCGAGGATCCGGAGAGTTACCAGCCAACGTTTACGGAGGTCTTGAAGTCGGCGCACGTCTGCGTGACGCTGGTTCGGCAGATTCGTGGGAAGTACCAGAATGTGAGTTTCATGGGGAAGTGCATCAAAAATGCTGGCCTGAGAACATTTTTGATCTCCAAGACGGGCACTTTCGATCCGACCTACAAAAAGGAGTTTTATGGCGGGCCCTTGTTGGACGCGGGACAGTGCTGCACGGTGACCATCGCGGAGTTTACGCGGCAGGCGATCATTGACGCCTTCGGCATCAGCCCGAGCTTGATCCGGACCATCTACAACGGCACGGACACGGAGAAGTTCAAGCGCACCCCGGAAATGGCCGTGGAGGCCCAGAAGCGATACCCCATCCCGGCGATGGCTGACGGGTCCAAGAAGTTTGTAGTGGGCTCCATCGGGCGCTTCGTGGCTGTCAAGGGCCAAAAAGTGCTGTTGCGGGCCTGCAAGAAGCTCCTGGAATCCAAGCGCGTGCCTAATCTGCACGTGTTGATGGTCGGGGAGGGGGAACTTAAGGAGGACATCGAGCAGACCGTCGCCAAGGACGCGGATCTGTCCAGTGCGGTGTCCATTTACCCCTTCACCAAGGAGCCTTTCTACGTGTTCGAGGCCTGCGACTGCATCGCGCTGGCCTCGTTCTTGGAGGGTCTGCCGAATGCGCTGCTGGAGGCCTTGGCCATGGAGAAGCCTTGCGTGGCCTCGCGGATCTACGGCATGCCGGAGGTGGTCGTGGACGGCGCCACGGGCTTCTGCTTCGACGCGGGCAAGGTGGAGGACGAGGCCTCGTGGGAGGCCATGGCCGACGGCTGCGCGGACGCCATTGCCAAGATCGCCGCCCTGGACGAGGCCGGCCGAGCCAAGATGGCGGAGAACGGCAAGAAGCTGGTTTTTGAGGGCCACGACAAGGTGAAGTGCTTCCAGAGCATCCTGGACCTTATCCAGGAGAAGGCCAAGGCAGCACAGGCTGCAGAGCTGGTTGCGCGGGCCGTAGAGGTGGTGGCAGCCTAAGGGAGTGCCAAGCGAGCAGGTGCCCGCCTGCATGGTCTCAGCCATTTCATCCTACCTGTCTCACCCGCTGCAGAAAAGCACCGGAAAGTATGCTGCGCTTGGCGAAAATGGACGGCGCGCTCATTGTCGTTAGAACCCACTTTTCTTTGCTTCACCGCAAGCTTTGAATGCTGGCACGATTCAGGGGCCGAACGAGGTTGAAGTAAGCTTTACTATATCCAGGCTTGAATTGCCAATCCAGCGCACGTTGCAATCACTCACATCTTCGGCATGTCACCTCGCACAAGAACAAACGCGGTGTCTAAGTCCGGCTGAGCTTACTGTCGTGTGTGCGATCGTATGTGTTGGGGCATTTCGCAGAGCACTAGTTGGTCAGTTGGTCAGTGCTCTGGTCCTTTTGCTTACAAAAGCTTAGCATAGCGCTTGGCGCGCTTCGTCTGGCTCATAGCTCAAGGCCATGGCTGGTAGTGCGTTGCAAAGCACTCCCGACGTTTGAAATCAAAGCTGACTCTGGTTGTGACTTTCAGGTCTCACTGATTCCTTTGAAGCCGCGCACGGACAATTGAAAGCCGCAAATGATCAGTCCGTGACATCTCAATGACTCCTTGTGATCCTTCCTTGCTTTCTCTGCACATGTCGGCCGCATGGGAGCAGCTGAAGCTCCAGGTGCGCAGAACCGGGACAGTGCATAGGGTCATGTGAGAGGCAGAAAAAGTAGGTATGCAGTGCACGCAGGTAAGCATTCTGGTTGCCATGGGCGGCTTGCATATCAGATTTATCAATAGAATTCTGCATTTTCTATCTTATTAGTCCTTTTATCTCAGCCATCTATTCTTCACGTAACCTTTCTATTAATAATGGATTTATGGGTTATTGCACCTCCAGAATTGCTTCTTTTATGATTGGAGGGAGGTGCAGGAGTTAACAGGTTATTTGGTTTCCCTCTATCACAGATTCCTGTCTCTCCACCAAACCTCAGAAACCCTTAGAATTTGAACCGTTACGAAGGAGATATGCCGGGTGAAGGAAGGTCATCTTTTTACCAGCCACTTCTTTATTTTTCTACCACGGGTGCCATGGGCGGCTTGCCACTTCCAGAGCTTTGGCGCTTGCGGACGCCGTTTGGCCTGGTGAACGGCGTGGCCCTTCTGTCGGAGTCTTCGGGTGGCCGCCGCGAGGTGCGCAGCGTGGCGGAGATCTTGGCCCCCGGCGTGGAGTCCATCAGCGGCTTGGCGGAGATCCTCTTCCCCACGGGCCTGCCGTGCCCGTGCCCGTCGAGCTCGGGGAGCTCGGGGAGCTCGGGGAGCTCGGGGAGCTCGGGGCTGATCAGCTTCTCCACCGTGATGACCGACAGCTTCTCGCATCGGACCTACCTGGCCGTGTGCTGTGGGTGCTGTGGGCGCCTGGCCACCTGCGCCTGGTCCCACCTGCCGGAGGTGGCCGCGCCCAGGTTCCTCGAGCTCATGAAGGCCATGCACGAGCTCCACCCGCAGAGCCTGGCCCGCATGTGGGCCTGGCTGGTCCATGACGTGCCTGCCCCACCCCCGGGCTCCGCCCTGGTGCTGCACTTTGGCCGTAGGATCTGCGCTGTGTCCCGGCCGCCCCCGGGGCTTCCCGCGGTGCATGTCCCCCTGACAGGCCTCTTTCGGCGCCTGAGCCTATCTGCCGTACTGCTGGCGACGCGGCTACTGCTTCTGGAGCAGAAGGTCCTCTTCGTCAGCTCATCCGTGTCATTCCTCACTGCTGCCTGTGAGGCCTTCCCCATCCTACTGTCGCCACTTGCTTGGGTCCACTGCTACAACCCGCTGTTGCCCTCCATGGACTATTTGCACACCCCTCCTCCCTTCCTCTTCGGATGCTTGCGGGATGTCTTCTTGAAGGAGACCTTTGCGGATTCCAAGGATCTTGCATCCAGCGAGGTGCTCTTCAATTCGAGGGACTACACAATTTTCGACCTGGACACGGGAGATGTCTATGCCACAGACATGGAGTTTCCTGAGCTCCCAGATGCAGCCCAAAGCCGGCTGCGCTTTGGCCTTACCCAGTTAAGATCAGAGCTGGAAGCCACGAGCGACCTCTGGCCGTGTGACACATGCACACTGGAGGAGGAGGTGCAGAAGACGTTTCTTACTTTTATGTCTGACCTGCTGGGGGGCGTTGCAGGTGCTTTGGGCCCGCTGTGCGAAAGCGCGACTGCAAGTTCGGTGCAAAGCTCCTTTCAGGGGGAACGCTTTCTGTCTGGAGTCTCAGCCAAAGACAAGCCCTTTTTCCAGGCGCTGCTGGACACCAACGCATTTTTGGCCTATTTGCAGACGCTGCACCTCTTCGGGCCCTCGGAGTCGCCATTCACGGAGGCCCTGCGCAGCCTGGGCTCCCGCAAGCTCCGGCCCTTCCCCCGGCTGCCGCCACCCCCAAAGCATAACGCCAGCGCCATCAGCGCCATCAGCGCCGCCAGCGCCGGTGTCAGCGCCAGCGGTGCCTGCGGCGCCAGCGGCGCCAGCGGCGGCAAGGGGGCCTGCTGCGCCATCGTGGCCAGCGAGCGGCTTGAGCTCCACATGGGCTTCGACGGTGACTTGTCGGAGACGGAGGTCTCGGATTGTCCGAATCGGCCGAAGCCCGCCTCACCGGCGCGAGAGCCTGAGCCTGGTGACAGCATGGAAGCCATCGTGACAGCCTTCCAGCAAGTCTCCCAGACGCGTTCGATCATGCCAAGTGTATGGCAGAAGCTTTGTGAAGATTTGCACAGCCGGCAAGGTGTCGGTACCATTCAGGAAGGCTGGTCACTGGCGCTTCTTTATGCGGTACTATCTCGAAAGATGGGTGCTTCGGAGGACTTCTTGTTGCGGACGTATTTGACCATTGATGAGCCCGCAGCACTTCCGACACACCGCATCTTGGCTCTCATGAGTGGAATAGAGCCTCCCGTGCTGTCGGATGTGCTGCATCCCGCAGAAGTAACAGCTTCTGTGCGATTTGCAAGGCGCCTGCTGGCTGTTGCAAACCCAGATTTGGACTCAGTGATAGGAGATCCAGCAACAGGTCTGGCTTTCATTTGCCCAGACCCTGGTGATATTTGTCACGACCCGGAAGCAGACGAAATACCTCGAGTGGAGCTGCTTCCGTTTCAAGGTCCCAAGGAGACACCGGTGCTTAATCACCGGCGGTTCTGCAACTGGACGGACCGCAGTCCAGAAACTCTTTCTGCCGAGCTTGTGCGGGATGCGCATAGGGCCTGCGTGGCCTTCCACCAAAACTCCAGCAAGGCCAACAAGCTCCTTGAACGATTAAGCGAGCCCCTCGCTGAACTGCAATGCTGCAGTCTGCAGGGAAAGAACCACGAGGCTCGCCTCAGCTTTTGGTTGAACTGCCTGAACGCGGCCACGCTCATCGCCGCCACATCACCTTCCGTTGGCTTGGTGACCCCTTGCGATGTTGCCGGGTGGGTGGAGTTGCTGCGCACGGCTCAGCTGGAGGTGCAGGGGGAGCTGCTGTCCTTGGCGGAGATCGAGCACCTGGTGTTGAAGGGCGAGACTGGCAGCCCCAGTGGCTGCCCCTGGGCGGACCGGGCGGACCGGGCGGACCGGGCGGACCGGGCTGAGGAGCGCCGCGGGCCCGGGCTGCGGTGTCTGCGCCCGGCGCCCCGCGCGGTCTTCGGCGTGTCGCGGCCGACGCGGGGCGTGGGCGCCGCCGGGCACCCGCCGCTGCGGGTCTTCCACCCAGACACCGTGCTCGCGGATCTGGACCTGAACGCGGCGGAGTGGCTCGCGGATCTGCCCGTGGACACCTGGCGCCGGAAGGTGATGCTCCCCGAGATCCTGCGCTGGCACCTCGCAGACCTGGGTGGAGAGGCGGCCCTGCTGGAGCTGGTGTGGTCCATCTTGCGCGCGCAGGCACCTCGGGCTTACCTCGGGCTTATAGCTTGGCACATTTCTATTTTTCTCAGAAGCTTTTTCCATTTTGCCCGGCTCAGGAGAAGGGCTCCCAGCTGGACTCTCTGCGGCAGCGTGGCTTCGCCAACGTCCGTGTGGAGTTCCAGGAGCTAGACTGGGCCTTCGCACCGCCTAGCTTTGAAAAAGTCGGACGCTGCATTTACTTGGACTCACTTTGCATCTTGCCATGGCTCTCATTTCCTTTCATTCTGAGCCAGGCGTATCTGTCAAAGTGAGTAGCTTTCCATTTAATGCACAAGGACTGGTGCTGAAAGAAGGATCTGCGCGCACTCTCTTTGGCCAAGATGGTTGATACTTTGGCAGGATTGTTTGTGTCCTTCCTGTCGCCAAAAGGGGCTTTGATTCTGATCAGCACAGCTTTTTGCTCAAGTATGGAGTGGCAAGACTGGCACTTCAAGTTTGCAGCCAAGTAACATGACCCAGCTTCGCCTCGAAGGAAACAGTTGCCTTGAATGAACCAACCTGCCAACTTTTGCGCCTCACTTTGTCCGATTGATTCCATGCGGCGTTGCAAGAGGTGCCCGCACGAGGCTTTTTCTGGGGATGTGGGGGAGTGGGGAGTGGGGTAGGCAGTGAGATGCACCGCTACCAGCAGCCGCAGGCGCGGGAGCGGGAGCGGCGCGCGAGCGGCGCGCGCGAGGGGAGAGGGAGCGGAGGGAGAGGTTCGGGAGGTTCGGACACGTGACGTGCCACGGAGGCCCCCAGCCGGCGGCCAGGCCAACGACTCAGCCGCTGGCTATGTTTCGCTTTTTTTTTTTAATAATATATTTTTTGATATGTATTCTTTCTCTTTTTATTTTATGCCTGGATGTTTCAGGACGGCTGCCCGTGGCCGTCAAGTGCGCCCTACCTCTGTGACGCCAGTGCTTGCGAAGCTTGAGCTGCAGGCGGGAGGCTGCGGAGGCAAAATCCACGCGGCTGCGAGTGTTCACAGAAGCGGAGAAGGCAAGTTTGCAAGCTTGCCAGTTTGCAACCCGGTCCAATTGCCGGACGTAGGATGAGATCGGTATCGCCACGTTGTTGGGCGAGTATACAGAGCTCGGCTCGGCCCTTGGTGCGACTGTCATTGTCTACAGCACACCAAGCCGAGCGTAAAGTCCGCATTGTTGCCAGTAAGCTGGCGTGAAAGACAAGCGTCGAATATTCTATGATTGTCACTCCGTACAAAGTGCCGTCCAGGAATGAACCATGGGAGGCCAACTTTTCAGAAGGCGCGCTAAGAATGCGAGACTTTTAGCGCTACTGCGTCTCGCTGAGGTTGAGAATGCGGGCTCCGAGGCAGACTGTTGGAGAGTCCTTTTGCAAACCTGTAAATCCAGTATCTGAGAATCCTGGCAACGCAGGTGAATGTCTTCGTGTATTATTGGGACACGAGAGCACCTGGGATGTGTCCGGCTCGTTTTGACAAGCTTCTTTCCTGGAGCCAAGGATGGGCCTGAGTTCTCGGGCTGGTGGTTTGGAGACAAAGTTGGAGGCACACAAGTTTGGTCTCGCGCCATGGACAGTGGCAAGGCTCGGGCAACCTCTCGGTTTCGTTCTTCTGTTTCTGTCCCCAGGCCCCTCCGAGAAAAGGTTGGAGAGTTCCATGGGATGGCGATGAGCAGCAAGGTTTGCTCTTGGCCGGGGCCTTGTTCTGCACCTTCTGCTCCTCCGGACCCCATGTCTCTCCATGTCTCCTGATGTCTCCTGATGTCTCCTGATGTCTCTTGATGTCTCTTGATGTCTCTTGTAGGTGGAGGTCATGGACACCACGGCGGCCATGGCGCAGCCAGTGTCCGCGTCCAATGGGCCAAGACACGCTTCGCTGCTGAAGCAAGAGCCGGATCCGGACCAACGTGTCATGGCCGAGTCGGGTGCCCGAGTTTTGAAGTCGCCCTTGCACCCCCGGTCCCACTGCGTCCTGTGTCCCACTCCACCCCTCGTTCTTGCTCTCTCTGACTCGAGGCGAGTCAAGCTCGCGATGGAGCGAATTGTCGCTGCAGAGGCAGAGGTTGAGCAGGCACGCACGTGCTTCAGGGCTTTTTGCTCAAGATTATGTTCCTTGAGGCCATAACCAGCACGAAGGAGACGCTCAGTGGAGAGGAGCATAACTTGCCCTTGCCCCGCACCTTGGGCTGCCACATTGGCGTGCCAGGAGTTGGATGAAAGTAGCCTCTTGGAAACTGACTCTATCCTCCGGACGCAGCTGGACAGACGCGACACTCTTGCACTAGCCCGTGTGCGAGTGAGGGCTGATGTGCCAGGACAACGTGCAGTCGGAGCAAAAACACCTGGCCAAGGAGGGGCAACGCAATTGGAGCTGCGGGAGAGCACGTCTGACAGGAGCTCGCAGAGGGTCGAGCTGCAGGTGGCACTCAAACCAGCCTGGGTGATCTTGCACGCTTGGCGCCGGCAGCTTAGCAACTTGCCATGGGCATGCGAGTGCACGAGTGCACGAGTGTACGAGTGTACGAGTGTACGAGTGTACGAGTGTACGAGTGTACGAGTGTACGAGTGTGCGAGTGCGGACGGAGGCCGCGAGTCCGGCAGCTTGCCGTATCCGTAGGCAGCCAGCTGACCCACGCTTGGGGCTTGGCCATGACTTCTTGCTGACTTGCCAACTCGACGTTGCATTGCCGCTTGAGGTGCAGGCAGCTCTCACGAAGGCAGGCAATGAGACATGCACATTGTACCATTTTGTGTGTGTGTGTGTGTGTGTCTGGCAAGCCTGGCAAGCGTGTCAGGTACGTCAGCAGGCGATGCTTGCGAAGCAAAAGGCTCCTTGTTTTTCTGTCTCGCTCTCTCTGTCTCTCTGTCTCTCTCTCTCTCTCTCTGTCTCTCTCTCTCTCTCTCTCTTTTTCTGTCACATTCAATGTTGCATATTGTATGTTGGTTTGTCGGTGGCTGTCAACTTTCAACTCTTACATTTTGAAGGCTTCTGCTGCTGAAGTTGCCGCAGAGAGAGAACAGAAAGATGCCCCTGCCTCACGTGCCATTTGACATGATGGTAGGCGCTGCATTTTCAACAGCCAACATGCTTCTTGTACCGAACAGCGAGATGATTCTTGTGCTCCCCTCAAACCAGGCAGCGTCGCTGCAGGCTATCTTGCCGGAGGCACTTTTGAGGGAACAAGCAGTACCACATGCCGACTGCCGACTTTTTCTGTGTTCCAAGCCTCCAAAAGCCTTCCAGGCTATGGACATTGTGACTGCGGCAGAAGACGCAGTCGAGTGCTTGCCTTGCATTCGCAACACGGAGTCAGGCAATTCGGCCGCTGTGCTGTGAGGACCGTGGCTATCTTGGCAGCTGCCGTGAGCGTGGATGAGACCGACACCAGTGAGACACACAAGGCGAAAGCCATACAGGACATTGAGAAGCCCCTGCCCCAGAAGCACAATATGTCGTTCGTTCAGCGCTCCTGTTCACGACGTGTCTCAGGTGCGCGAGCAAAGCTCAAGGCGACTTGTTGGAGGCCGCACCAACCCTTGGGAAGCAGGCGGATGAGTCTCGCCTTAGGCCAAGAAACTGGTCAACGGCCATATGGCCGCGTGCAAGAAGTACGCCCCGGAGGCGCAGAAGGCAGGGTTTGACCTTGGCGGCCGAGTGTTTCAGAGAGCGGGACTGAGGTGGCCATTCAAGAGTTTGCCGTGCTGGCCTCGATGTCAAGCCCCAAAAGTCACAGACATCAACCTGTGAGGCCTTAGAAAAGCGCCTGAACGAAGCTGCAAAAAGGCTTACTCCGCTGAAGCGCTTTCGGCAGGACAGTTGAGAAAGAGAGAGGGAGAGAGGGAGAGAGGGAGCGACGTTGATGTATGCCGTGGTCGTGGCCAGGAGCACGAGCAAAAGGCGGCCGCCAGAAAGGCACTCATGGAAATCTCTCAGAAACTCAGCAGCCGCATCCTCGGATTTCTCGCATTTTCTTAGCGCATCCGCATCTTTGTGTTTTGCAGGTGCTGAGCTTGAGATCGAGAAGGCCGGGGCTTGCTGCTTGGCGTGGGATGTGACCTGACTTTGCGACAGATCTTGACAGGCCCACATCATGACGTCCACAGACTCGCAGATGGAGCAGGAGCCGCGTGCGTTTGGCTGTGCGCTTCTTCCGCCACTGCCTGTCGCATGATCATTTTTGCATTGCATGGTCTCAAGCCAGAAGGATAGGCAACGAGGCCAAAGATGGCGCGGTGGAGCGCTTTACTGCTTTTTGCAGCCAGATGTGCTGCACAACGGCCGATCTGCCAAATGGCGGATGCGTTTGCTGCATCCGTCGACATGCATCTGACTGATTGGGACAGTCAGGTTGAGTTCGCATTAAACGAATCTGTAAATTGCTCCGACTTCCTCGAGTATGTCTACTTGTCTCGTGATCAAATACGGACACAGCTGGACTATGTGAGGGGCAACTTCTCTGCGGAGGATGAGCAATTTAGGTTGCAAGGTGCGGTTGGTGGGTCCAGTGCCTGGGCGATGACACACATGTCCCAAGCAGCGTCTCTGCTGTCTGCACACATTCACATCCACGGGATTTTGTCGGCTGCGCGGCCGGAGTGCCTGAACGAGCACTTGCAGCTGCTCTTCCTCATGAGCCTGCGCCGCATGAAGGGTCTGCTGCACAGCCAGCTACGGCATCTGTGGCTGGTCTTCCAGGGCACGGCTGAGCTGGTCCGCCAGCATGCCGGCAAGTGGCTGGCGGAGGTGGTGGATTTGTTTGAGGCAGACCTCCGGACTTACGAGTCCATCATGGTGAACTGGCGCCCGGCCAACGACAGCGACGCAAGCGCCCGGCCGGGGCCGCCGCTGCCAGCCTTTGCGGCCTGGGAGGATGGGGCGCTGTCCACCATCGAGGTGCTGCGCCGGGATACCTTCGAGGAGTGGGAGGTGCCAAAGCTGCTGCTGCGCGCCCTGCTGCGGCTCCTGAGCGGCAAGCCAGCCGGCCCAGCCGGCCCAGCCGGCCCAGGCCCAGGCGGCCCAGGCGGCCTGGGCGGGGCTGATCTGGCGGACTTCTGCGCCGGGGCGGGGGCTGGGGCGGTGTTCCTCAACGACACGGGCCTGGTGAAGGCCTATGCCTTCGATGCCTCCACCAACATCAAGCTCCTCAGCAAGAACCTGGTGGAGCCCTTGCGGCTCCATGCGGAAGACATCCGCCCGTGGAAAAGCTTCGATGTCACCATGTGCCTCACCGACTTTGCGTCGCGTCCGGAGGCTTGGGTGCAGGTATGGAAAAACATCGAGGTGAGCACCAAGAGTGCAGCGGTCATGAACTGTGGAGATGGCGAGGCAAGGCATCTTGCCTTGACAGAAGCCTCGATGCACGCCTCTGCATTGGCCTATGATGACCATCTTAGCAGCCAATTAAGTGTGCTCTACCCAGGTCTCTGCATTTTCTGGCGCTCCAAGGCATCGAGCTAAAAGGATGCGCGCGTGCTGGATGCATAGAACTGGAAGATTGGCTAGGCCATCGAGACTTCGTGACTTGTTGACATGAGCCTCACCGTGTCGCATGAATGAAGGATGACATCACCTCCACCGCGCAGCTTTTGGGTCCAGCTGAGGCACGGCAAAGCATCTTGTGTCTTCCATTCGATGGCGCCGCAGGAAGACCTGAAAAATGCCAAGCTGCTCATCGCGAAGCGCCTAAACGCCACTTCCAAGGATGACCTGGAGGTGGGATCCGTGGGATCCGTGGGATATGTGGGATATGTGGGATCCGTGGGATCAATCGGCACCTCTCTTGACACTTTCGGCAGGAGCTCCACCAGCGGGTTGCCGATGCCAGTGCAAAGCTCACGACGATTCGCAGGAGGCCTAGGCGGTCTCAGGCAAAGGCTTTCCTATGACCAGATCAGATGAGCTCAATGAGTCATACGAAGTCACGCAGGAAATATCCAATTTTCTAATATGTATTCTGAATGTGGAAAAGATCAGGGGAAGCTTCATTCGTTTGCTTCCATGGCATACCTTCAAGTTGACTCGGCTTGTTGTAGAAATTCTCGGCGAGTCGGGAGCGGATGAAAGAGATGACAGTGCTCCGCTCTTCACTCTCACACCTATTTCTCGTCCATTGGCGAGTCGCTTCTATTCCAAACTCGACCAAGAGATAGATACAGGCGGCCACTTTAGTAAATTCGAAGTCATACGGTCACTAGTCGGTGTCACATCTGCTCAAGGCCAAGTGCTCGCACGCCAAGAGGAGGCTCTTGCAGTGGAGAGGGCGCTGAGTGAGGCGCGGCACAAAGAACGCAGGTTGTCCCAGAGTCTCTGCTGACTCTGCTGTTTACTCGTATTGGACGGCACGAACAGAGCGTGCAAGTGCTGTCAGGTTCACGAGAAGATCGAGCAAGCTGAGGAGGCATGATGAGCGCTCTATCTCTTCCTAAATTTACTGCCCTGGAGGCTTACCTTGCAACTTCTGAAGCAGAAATGCCACCTGCCCAGCCTCAACTTGTCGCTTCGCTAGTCAAGAGTGCCGAGGCCGTTCTTGAAAGGACTCGAGGTCCGGCCTTTTTGGCAGTGCTTGAGAGAGAGAGAGAGAGACTGGAGAGATAGATTGACATTGCGAGCGCAGGTGTTGCCTATTCAGGAGGGCATGCAAGCTGTCGCCCAGTGCGAGGTTCGCACGAAAGGAGACAGAAAGAGATGGAAAACGGAAAGGAGAAAGAAGATGGAAAGAGAGAACGCGCTTTTCATTTTCCATTCGCACGAAGGCTGCGTGCGAGCGCTGTGAAGGTGCCCTGGACGTGGCTAGGTGCGACCATTTGCGGATCTGTGTAATGATGGTAGTGAATCCGTGTGCCATGCAGGAAGTTCCTCAACAAGGTAGAGACGGAGTCCAAGACAAAATGGTCCAAGGAGGCGGGAAAATCACAAGCCTTGCGCAAACTGCGAAAAGCCCCAAAGTTTGCCGGAGTTCTCATTGTGACAGGGCCAGAAGCATTTAGCAGCTGAGCTGAAGAAGTGCCTACCTCAATTGTCCCAAAGGCAAAGTGTGGTCAGCTCTGTTTGTCGAGGTGCAGAGACAGAGGTGAAGAAACTCACCAGAAGCTTAGAATCTTCAAGCCGGGTACTGTTGGACTGTTCGCCGGGACATGGCGCCGATCTGGCAGGAAAGAAACTCGGCAGCGAAAAGCGAAAGCAATGCTTCAAGAAGTGAGCGAAAAAGTCGTCCTGCCGGCTGAACTTGACACTGGATGTTGGCAGCTTGTGTTTTGCCAGGCTGAAGCTGAGAATCAAAGCCAAGCTTTGGCTGAGGTCGGCTCACAGCGGCTCACAGTTACCAAGCTGCTTTCGGCACAGGTCGTGAAAGTGTTGAGTGCCGAGCTTGACAAGGCCAAACACGCCGAGCCTTTCCCATTCTGCAGTCCGCGTCTCTCCGGGCAGGTCACTGTGGAAGCGTTGAAGCTAGCGATTGACCAGTCTATCGCAGCTGAGAAGGTATGGGGACTTAGGCAAGATGCTATGCGGTGCTCAGAGGCTCAGAGTTGTGAGGAAGCCGTGCGGACTTACAATGCGGCCCGCGAAGTGATGTCGGCAAAGCAGAAAGAAGTCAAGGATCCCCCGCTGCTGCCAGGGCCTGAGCTGAGCCCTGTGGCAAGGTCCAAGCGCCTTCGCATTTGGCAGACTCAGCGTCCCCGGCACACTTCGTCGCATTGGCGCGTACCCAACGCGGACTCATTGCGTCCTGTTTTTGCCTTCAACATTGTGACCTGGCTGACGTACTCCTGTAGTAGCAGATCACGACTTGCTTGAAATGTCCGCAAATGGCTCGGCCTTTTCTTCATTCTTGGGACTTCAATCCTGAGAATCCGGCTTCGAAAGGACCAGTGCCGGGAGATTGGTGTGCCCGCTGCGCACAGCATTCCCTCCTCCATGTCCTGGATTCGGCCTCGTCGCATTGCCTCAAGCGGTTCAGCTGCAAAGCGTTGGCTCGCTGGTCAGAGAGGGGACCTTTCAAGCGCCGTCTCGCAGTGTCGCATCAAGGGCTCAGTGGCATTGCAACGTATGAGTCAAGTATTTGTTTGCAATGTCCAAGCCGTCAGAGCTCCATAAAACCGCTATAGATGCTTGCCCCAGTCGAACAGGAAGTTGCTACAAGATGAGTCGTGACGCTGTTGCTGTTCTTTCGTGGGTGTCGGATTGCGTAGCGACAAGCATGTCAAACGTGCGGATAGATTCTGATGAACTGAATCCTGTTGCAAATTGATATAGCCTTTGAGCTTGTCAGACCAGCTGGCAATTGGCACAAATGGCTAAATCTGCTGTAGCATCCGTCGCTCGTTCCTGAAATCTTTCTCTCTCTCCCTCCCCTCCTCTTTTCCTCCCTCTTTTCCTCCCTCCTGCCCTCCCTCCCCTCCCTCCCGCCCTCCCCCTTCCTCCCTCCCTCCCTCCCTCTCTCTCTCCCTCCCTCCCTCTTCTTGCACAAGGCGTGCATGACTGGCACTGATCGTGGGACCTTGTGGTCTCGCGCATTGTCAATTGGCAAGCTGCCTTGATTGTGAGCTCTTGACGGGAGAAAGTATGTCTAGATTTGCAAGGATGGAGCTCACAAAGCTGCAGAAGAAGCTGGCTTCTGCACATCAGGAAATGGTGAAGAGCAGGCGATCTCGCGAGACACAGAGAAAGTTAGCCCAGTCTGCGTAGGCAAATTGCGAAGGGCGGAGAGCAGCTGATCAAGGACAAGAAGGCACACTGCTCGTCTCACATTTGAACCCCATGCTTGATATTGCGAGGTCGTTCTTGAAGAAGAACGGAAAGTTGGTCTGATGGAGACATTAGTAGAGAAGGCCTGTGTACTGTGGGTCCAAGCGCCTGCGCTCCTTGGTGTTCTACCGTTTGACCATGAGTCACCTAATGTCCAGGCGGAGAAGATGATGCCTGCGGAAGACCAAGATGTGAAGAAGGAGGACGCGTTGCGAACACTTGCGGCTTGCATGCGGAAAGAGGACGTGTCATTGAAGGAGTTGATCCAGATCGACTCAGCAATCAAATCTGCCAATGCGGCGGGACCCTTGTATGCCTTGATCCCCTGTCCGCTTCAGTTGCCCTTCAGTTTCGCGATCGTTTTTGCTTGCCAGTGCTTGGCACATACGCTCGCACCGCTTGAAGGCAGTACATGCCAGCCAGAGATCTCTTGATAAACATTTGGCAGGCATGGTGCTTGGTTGGAGCAAGTTGGATGCTGTTGCATAATTTTGTGATTGTCAAGTGTTGAGGAGGGCGTGGGAAAGCTGCTTGAACGCAAGGTGACACTTCTGCAAAGGCATGTCTGAGCAAGCTCGTGTCGCGGGTCAAAGAAGCCGCGACGAAGATGGAGAAGGTGGGACATGCACCGGAAACTGCCTTGGAAAGTGCCACAACCCTGCGGGACCCTGCCAGATAAAGAAGACCACCAAGACTCAGCGGGAGAAAGCCTCGGCGGAGGCTGGCAGCCTTGTGCGGTGAATGGGATTGGGCTGCTTTCGGCTTTTGCTTCCAGGTCATCGTGAAGGCAGCAGAGCAACACGTGGAAGCAGTGGAGGCAGCACTTCAAAAAGTGGCGGAGGACAGCATGAGAGTGAGTCATGTGAGTCATGTGAGTCATGTGAATGTGAGTTCACCGGGGCAGCCGGGGCATGGTGTGGTCCAGGCCGAGCTGCCATTCCTGAAGGGCATCGAGGCACTCGAACCTGTCGAAGGGCCGAGAGTGGGCTGACGGACCCAGGTGATTCCTCTATCGGAAGCCTCCTCTGCCATCGCAGAGTGCGAGCAAGCTGCTAAGCAAGTCCAAGAGGCAGAGTTCGCCCCGAAGGGAAGTTTGGCCAAGTGGATCCTGTTGCCTTTTTGAGGTCTTGCCTGAGCTCCAAATGAGCTCGCGATCGGGCTTGACAGGCCTTGGAGAGAGCCAAGTCCCTGATAGCGACAAAGACCATCGAAGCCAAGAAGTTTGCCGAGGCGAGAGGGCAAAAGGAAGTTGGAACGGAAGGCGGTAAGGTGGCAAGGCGGCAAGGCGATCCGTGTGAGGTGGCTTCAAAGCCTTGCCTGGAGAGATTGGCGCTTCAAGTGGAGCGGATCAATGCGGCTGCCGCCAAGCTGTCGCAGTTCCGCCACCCCCTCAGCGTTCCTTGTGCTTGGCCGCACTGCCCCCATCATTTCCCTGCAAATCGGGTTGCCCAGGCAAGGACACAGAGAGCCACAAGCGCACCTCCCAGATGCACGAGGCTATTGACTCGTGCTCTCCCACTTGCTTAAGTACACATTGCGGTTTTACTCAACTTGTAGGCAGCAGAGATGCTGAAGAAGGCCGAGGAGGAGGTGGAGAAGACCATTGAGGTGATTCCGCGAGATAGCCTGTTGGTTTTCTACATCAGTCATTTTCACGTATCGTGAGACATCGATCATTTCTTTCAGGCGGGTGCACCGCTGGACACCGAGGAGTTTACGGGAGGTGGAGGTGCTCTGATGGAAGCCAGCGACTTGTGCAGGACTTGAGCATTACGCCGGAGGCGGCCACAGAGGTTTGCGCCAAGCTGGGGCATTTGGAGAAGGCAGGGGACCGACTCTGGGGACCCTCTGGAACTTCTTGGACTCTGTTTTGCCTTGCTTGATCCTTCATGCGAGGCAGCCAACAAAACAGTGACCGAAGCCTTGGTCTTCCTGGCGGAGAGACGGAAGGCGCGTGTCACTGTTTTTGCCGTGGCGGGTGCGGATGGATGGCCAAGGACGTCAAAGGCACTCCCAAAGAAGTCGAATTGGAGAAGATGCAAGCTCAGCTTATCAAGATAAAGGCGTGGGCTCAGCATTATGTGCACGCGAAGAAATAGATGTTCCGCAGGCAAAGCTGCAGACTGCGAAGAAGAATGCGTCTCAGCAGGAGCAGCGCTTTGTGGCGAGGAAGTTGGCGGCAGAGGCCGAGGCGCGTCCCAAGCTTCGCGTTTTGGTGTGAATTTCAGGCCGCGCAGCGCGGCGAGGAGGTCGAGGAGGAGCTGAAGAAGGTCCAGGCGCAGAGAAAGAGAGAGAAAGAGAGAGGCAGAGCCAGCGGAGCGAGAGACAGAGCCAGCGGAGCCAGCGGAGCCAGCTGAACGGGGCTTGCTTCACGGGAGTGCCGCAGGCCGCAGCAGAGCCGCTGCAGCAGAGTTCTGGATTCCTGGTGCAGTCCAACGTGCAGCGACTCGCGGCAGTCGTTCAGGACTGGGAGGGGACGAGGTGACAAGACGCGGGTCGGGTGGATGTCTGCATTTTCGTCTTGGAGTTGTTGCAGGAGCTGAAGGCGAAAGATGAGCTCAAGCAGGACGGAGAGCCACGACTGCCCTGAGACGGAAGGGCCCTTTGTCGGACTTGTCAGGCCGGCAAAGACATGACGCTGGGAGCTTTTCGGGCAGACCTGCGAGATTGCCGGTCTTCGTCGATTCGTTGTCCGCCTTTGCTGTGCCGGAGAGCCGAGTCTCAAAGCCAGGCGTTTGTCGCGAGACTTGCGGAGGAACATAACTCAGAGGACAGTGTGTCTGCGTCCCAGTGAGCAGCGGGCAAGTCATGCTGGGCTCGGCACAAACACTTTACAGAGACTGCAAAGCTGTCCTACATTGGAACCAGTGCGCCGCAGATTTCCTTCGCCCTCAGGATGTGGTTCGAATTCGTGACCCCTACTAAAAAACCCCTCCACCCCCAAGCCTTTACTTTGCCGCCCACGCGAGCTTTGTGATTCCCACAGTGCTGCTGTGATATGTCATGTTATGCGTGCAAACCGCAGTCCAGGAAACTTGGTTTCGCAAGATGACTTTTCCTTTACACGCACCTCCGAATTCCCGACCCCCCGTCTCTGCTACCCACTTTTTGTCTTGCTCTTCTCTCCACTCTTTTCGCCGCGAAAAACTCATGCGCTCTGTGTTTCACGCTTCCGTGTATTATGTGTATACTACTGTTGCTTGACATCGCTTTGTACCCGGAGCAAGGAGCCACCTAATCAGGACACACGGCTGTTCGAGAGCCTTGGGATAATTTTTTCTGTTGGTTTCGACCTTTCACCGACTCCAGTTTTTATTTGCCTTTGGCTTCAAACACTTCCCCTCTCCAGGCATTCACTGTACCGTCATGGCAAGCTTTCCTCGACCATGCATGCCTTCGATTCACAGACTTAAACCGCACTGAGAATAGAGTGAATAGAGACGAGTCGACGAGAGACGTGCACGCAGGTTTTCGGAGGCCGAAGTGGAGGCGCCCGCGGTCAGTGCAGATCAAGCTCCGAATGGGGCGACCGAGGCCATGTTCCATCATCTGGATGCTGACAACAGCGGCGACTTAAGCGAAAGCGAGTTCCAGGCAGGGCCATAGGAAGACGGGCAGATGTGAACATGAGATGCCGCAGGGCATCTTTGCGGAGCAGTTTGCCTGCGCTCGGCACTGAGACCATGTGCCCATGCGGTTTCAGGTCGGTTTCATTCCGAAGCGCCAGGTGCAGCCCATCTCCATGACGGAGAGCTTCTCCATCACGGATGGGAAGAGCGTGGCCAAGCTGGAGGTGGGGTCCGTGGTGGAGGCGCTGGGAATGCACGGGCCTCACGGGCCTCACGGGCCTCACGGGCCTCGGCCGCAAAGGCCGTAGGTGGGGGGTTGCTGTGCAATCCGGACGAGGCCGCAGTTTGATGAACACCAGAAGCTGACTCGTCTACACTGCCGCCTCGCTGACGACATGAAAGAAGGGTGGGTGACAATGAAGGGCAATCAAGGCCAGAGTTGTCTCAATCTTGAAATGCCTCAGACAGTCTGAGTAGGTAAAGTCTTCCTGGATCGCCTTTCACCCCACAACACCAGCTTGAAGGCCTTTGAGAGGAGCGCTTGCTGAAGCGCCAAAGTTGCAAAGTGCCGGCATCTGTCTTGCAGGATGCGCCAGGCATCTTGCAAGGTTGTTGGCAAGGACGGGCATCATTCCATTTCTCTCACCTTGTTGATTGAACTCCGAAGGCCTTGGGCTATCTGAACAGCACACGAAAGACCCTGGCGGATTGCGACCGTGGTCCATTGGTAGAGGCTGGGATTTCCGTTCCCTCGGCTTCAGGCTTGCACGGCTTGCACGGCTTGACAGGCTAGAACGAAGATGGACGAGCTGAGAGCGAAGGCGCTGCTTCCTTTTTGGCGCTGCGCTGAAATGTGGCTGTTGCGACTGGTGCGTTTGGTGCGACTCTGGCAAGCAGGTGGTGGCCTCTCAGCAGAAGCTGGATGAAATAAAGAAGAAGGTTGAGGAAGCAGCAAAGGAGTACAGTAAGCCATGCCCTCAAACTGATGAGAATGATGAGACTCATAGACTTTTTGAACTTGTAGATCAGATCCGATGTGGCTGCATGATGGCATCGTTGCACACCTGCGATTTGGCTTGGATAGGCGTGAGGCGGCTGAGCGTCAAGCGCGCAGCAATGCTCGCACTCGCCGTTTGCTGGACTCCATCTCCAAGGCCATGCCTTTTTCCTGTGACATGCGTTGCGCAGCGGCTCGAGCCAGGAGATCGATGAGAAATGCGAGAACCTCCGGCAAGAGGCAAAGCGGATCAGAGAGGCGTGTGACTTGTTTGATCTTGTTCGTATGTGTGATGTGCGATCCCCACCCCCCCCATGCCCGGCCATGCCCGGCCATGCCCCGCTCACGACAGGTCATCGACCCCTTGAATAGCACCGCAGACTTGGAGGCAGTGGCCACGCCCAGCTCCATTCTCAGAGACGGCGAGCAAATGTCCGCGAAGCTGGCGGACGAGATGGCTGCAGTCAGGACAATGACAAGCAACGTTGCACGTCTCGAGTTCGTTTCGGTAACTCGTTTTGGTCCTAAGTTGTTGTCGATTTGACCAACCTCTGTGTTGCTTCTGTCATAAAATGCATTCTCCAAGAGTTAAGCAAACAATAAAAGAACGACGAGAGAACAGAGTCGCAACATCGTGAGGGCCTGTGTTTAGCGCACGGGTTGGCCAAGGGTTTGTGCGGGTTAGCGACGGGTTCGCCACGGTCTCGGTATCCACTGGCTGCGCGCACTGCATTGCTTCGCCCGCCTGTCGAAGCACTCTCGCTGCGTGCAAAAGAAAACACACGGTGAACTGCGTAGATCGTGGGTGTCGAAGCGCTTGGCGCGGCGCAGAGCAAGATTGCAAAGCACTCGGTGATCCCGTTAGGTCGAAGTGTTCTCGCTGCGCCAAGGGAATGTGAAAAGGGCTCCAGCTCCAGCTGGAAAAGCATTTCAGCTAGGCTGTACTGTTTTGCAGCTCCGCTGCAAGTCCCGCAAGTGCTCTCGGCGAAGCATTTTGTTGGGGCTGGACTACCATGTGATGTGTGTATCTTGACTGTCGAGGCTTCTTGTGGGTGGGCCTTGCTGTTGGGCGGAGCTGGTGACACTCGTGCCCTGCTTGAGCTGATCCATGGCCCTGGCAACACGCACGTGCGCGCAGCAGCCGCTTTCGCGTGCCGCGCAGACACTCAGAGCAACGACTTCGCAAACCCTGCTCCCACGAAACATGTCAGCCGCTTTGCTTTTTTACCTTCCGTCATCCAGCTCTGGAGCATGCCTGGGACTACATTGTCTACATGAGTCGACAAGCATGACAGCTAGACTGGGCAAGCAATTGGGACCTTCCCGAGCACGAACTTCAGGGGAAGTGCCAAAGCAGGACCAGAGTGAGTCAACGACTACTAGAATCAACGTGAGGCGCCAACTGGCATCAACAAGTGGCTACCAAACCCTATGTAGTCGCTCTGGCAATCTTGCTGCAAAAAGGTGCCCTGTGAAGAAGGTTACGCTTTTGTGGTACTTTAGATTTTAGGTCGAGTCTAAGGATTTTTGTAGGATTGTTATTGTTGGCCAAACCAGGAAACAGGAAGTTTTAGGTGTTACAATGGAATGAATAGATTATAAATGCCCAAAGTCCTGCAAACCACACCATCATAGAAATCGCATTAAACATCTGAAAATAACGACAAGCGCCTTGAGATTGCGACATACAAGGCAGCAAGCCAAACATCTTCCAGAAGTCGAACAGCCACTGTGCTTCCAGTTGCCCTCCCATGTCCACTCAAGTTGGACAAGAACAGATGCGAGTGTCAACTCCTGGTTGGCAACTGCGGCAATCGAGGAAGCTCTGGATCCACTTTGCATGATAGCCAAGTTAACACCCGAGGCTTCAAAGAGGCCATGTTTTCAACGTGATCTCTTTGTTTTAAATGCTTGTCATGCAGCTGTCACTGCAAATAGTTTCGTCAAGTACTTGCCCGAAAAATGTCAAACTAAGAAGAGGGTTGCAACCCATTGCAGCGATGCTGGTCAGATGGTCGCTGAACTGATGGAAACCTGATGTCCACTGTTCAGGAAGAGGGCATGACGGAATAGCATGCGCATATTCGGAAGCATTTAGACTTTATCGAAGTATCACTTGCAATTCCTATAGCTCCTTTTAACCCAGTGCCCACAGCAGACCTAAAACCAAACAAACGCAGGTACCCCTGTCCTCTGCAAGAGTCTTTAGAGACCTTCGCGCGTGAGAGAGCTTGTGGCGTTACCATTGCTACCTCATGTCTTTGCGCGGAGATGCACGATCGAGCAGCTTTTGCAGTGGCTTCCTGGGGAAGAGACGACGTTGCCGGTGTCCCATGATTCTCCAAATTAGTCCATCCCAAACGGGTCAAACTAGAGCGGCATGTTGTACACGTGGAATGTTGTGGTAGCATCCAAGCTCAACACGCCCTTGACATGCCACCGCCAAGCAAGAGTTGTGTCATGGATGGCCCCGCGAAAGCAACACCCTGCACAGCGCAAGTCGCGTAAGCTCTTTTTGCGGAAACTTGCTGCGTAAGCACCCGCGTAAGCTCCGCTTGGTGACTGCTTGCAAAGGTTGTGGAATGCCATGGCCTTAGGTGTCGAATTTCCAATTCACAATAAGCTCACCTCGCACCGCTGCCTGCTCGCCCATTCCACGATGCCGCAACAGGCAACACGAACTCTGGAGGCAAAGTTTTCGGCCAAATTCAAGACGCTGAGCAAGAGGGCTACAAAGCGACGACCCTGAAAAGAGCAACATCGCCAAGTTGATCCACTTGAGAGCAATTCTGTCAGCCACGTTATCTTGAACAGTGGCTGCTGCGTAGAAAGAGGATATTCTTGAGGGGAAACGCGGTCAAAACGCTCGCGTGTAAGCAACGTGACATGCTCGCTTACGGCCGCGTAAGCTAAAACTTGGGTCGCGTAAGCACAGCGCCAGCTCGCGTGTCAGCACCTTCCACGACTTAGGGATTCATGGGATGTTTATAGAGTCGCTCAAGTGGGCAGCTGACTTCCCGCAGTTAGTACTGCGAATGCGCGAGCAAAGCAGGCGTATTTGGGAAGGCGTCGGCGTTGCTGGTTGGGAGAGTGAAAAGCCAATCAGCAATCAGCAAACAAGGTCACGGCCCTCCCTCACGCGCTGTTAGTGGAGCTCTTGCAGCCCGGATGTTGGCTGCATGGTGGATACTCCTTTCACTGTTGAAATGATAGAACTCACAGGACCTCTCTGTTGATTTTCACATTGTCTGCTAGAGTACAACACATTTATTCCAGGATTGGGTAAATGGACATTCTGATCCGGATCCGTGTTGCTTCCGGGTCACGATGCGTGTTTGTGTTTGGAAGCATAATTTCCTAGAGTCATGACGTCGGGTAACAAAACAAACAAATGAGACCCCGGGCTACCTGTGCTTAGATTCTAGATGACGGATGTGTCGATTGGGAACACTTTTTGCACCTCTGTCTCCCACGCAGGAAATTCATTGAAGAGCACGAAGCTCCGAAGAGCGCAGAAGGCAGCCGGAGATTAGTCTTTCCTCACTTCAAAACTTTTCAGGGTGCTGCAAGCACTTGCCAGGATGTGCAACTCAGATCAAGCAGTTGCTTGCCAGCGCTGTTTCCAAGGCAGGCGTATTGGTTTGCATTTTCTTCGCAGCATTCCCTTTGCCAGTTGGACGCGCTCGGAAAGCTGAACGCCCAGCACATGAAGGCCACTTGTGCGTTTGCATTTTCGTGCGTCGGCGCTTGCAGCGAGGTGGCGCGGAGCTCTGCGCTGAAGGTCGGGCAAGCCGCCCTCCGCAAGGCCCAGCAGGCCATGCGGACAGAGGCGCTCCGGCGAGAGCTGGGCGTGGAGGCCGCGGCCTCTGGAAACGCCCCGAGCCCCGCAGAAAGCCCCGCAGAAAGCCCCGCATAGCGCGGAAAAACGCGGGTGGCAGGCCGCATCGTGGTGCCGTGTGCTTTGGGCTGAGGCCCTGTTTGATGAGATGGCTGGCGAAGGCGAGGTGGCCAGATCTGCAATGCAGAGGCGCAGCTTGAAGGGAGCCAAGACTGAATTTGCAGTTGTACTTTGCAAACGGATATCATGTCGGGAGCTCCACACATGCTTCGGGTTCAATAGCATCTTTCAAAAAAGCCATGTCACTTCCACATGGCTTGACAGCTGACTCAACTCTGAAAAGGACATGTGCCTTCCTCGCTTGTGCATTGGGCTTCCAGTTGGCCAGTTGGTGTAGGCGTCTGGAGTCACTGGAGTTGTCCCTCTCCTCGGAGCAGGTCGAGGGCTGAGCGATGAATCTGAAGCATGAAAAGTGCACGGGAAACGTTCGCTCGAAGGTGGCTTTGCTGCTGGACACCATCATGGAGAGCAGCTCTGAGGTCCAAGAAGCTTCACCTTTTTTGAATGAAACGCTTGCGATCCCAGGATGCGGTCATCTCAAGATGGCGCTTTCTTCGGAACTTCCAGCAATTTTATGCCCTGGCCTGAGAGCAGGTTGCCATGTTCTGTACGAGTGAAGCTCGAGGAGTGCCAGAAGAACATCGCTTTGACCACCGACTTTGTAATTTCCAACTGCAAGCCAAAGCGATCGCTGAATGCGTCGGAGGCAAGGAAGCGCAGCATTTCGGAATGCTAAAAGCAGGAAGCACAGGACGCACATTGCCAGGTTGTCGAGGTCTTGGAAGGTCCACAGCGCGATGAGAAGCTCGGCATGGGCCTGAGCCGATGCGAGCGAGGAAGCTATCCTGGGCCTATCAAGTGTTTGGCAAGGCATCGAGCGGATACGCGGCCGAGCTATGCGGGATAATCTGGAGGGATGGTGCGAGCCTGACTCACTGACCTCACTGAGCTCACCTGACGGCCTTGAAGGGCTTGTGCGCCGCTTCCGTATACGACCCGACAGGGTGAGCATCAGCGGCAACCAGGGCACGGCCTTTCTGAAGGCAAGGGCCAGGGGTTTCGCACACGCACGGCACGCGACCGAAGTGAGGAGCGGCCCAAGCCTTTTGTCGTTTGCCTCATCGATCTCCCTTTGGAGAAGGACTTCCTGCCGTGCACCCAGCCTCGAAACTCGGAGACAGGTCGCAATCTTTGTCAGAACCTTTATGGTGCGCCAAGGAGTTCTGGAGAGCCACCAATTAGGTTGCTCAAGGCTTGTTGCGGCGGCTGCGCTGCCTGCATTAGACTCGACTTGTTCTGATGCAGGCTGACGAAGTGCTGGAACATCTTGAGGGCCCTCGGTCGGACAGACTTGTCCCGTGCGCGCTTTTTGCGATGTTCGTTTGGTTGCCACTCCTGCGAGGACACCAGCGAAGCTTTAATGCGCGCTCGCTGCAAGGCCTTGTCTGCTCGAGCCCGAGCTTTGCAACTTTCCTCACGCGGCGGAGTTTACGGCGCTCAGGATGATGCCACTGGCTGGATCACACTGACGAGCCAGCAGCAGGTGACTGCTGAGAAGGGCCACCAGAAGTCCTCCGGCAAAAGACAAACGGGGCAGATGGGATTGCCTTGCCGCCTGATTGGGTGTTTTTTGGCTGAGAGAGGGAGAACTTGGAACGGGCCGAGGTTTTTCAGCTGCAAGAACGGTGTGGCTATCACTGATGGCCCCAACATCAAAGCTTGCAAGGCTGAGAGCCATCGCTGGCAACGCCGGTCCGAAAGCTGCTTCCAGGTCTTCCGAAAGCTGGAAGCTGGTGAAGTCATCCGGCTTTTGGAAGGGCCCGAGGTGGACAAGGACAGGGTGTGAATGAGAGTTGTGAAAGTTCGAAGAGTCGAATTAAGTTGAGTAGGTTTTTAAGTTAAGTAAGTTAAGCAAGTTGAGTGGAGAGGGCCTGGCTTGCCAAGTTGCCAGGACTCTGGGGTCACCCGCATCAAGGCAGCGTGCCTCAAGGCAAGGCAAGAGAGAGTGAGAGAGAAGGCAAGGCCGGGTGAGAGCGGCTTGAGAGCGCAGGATGGCCTGGAGGGCTGGGTGACGACGCTTGGCAACGCAGGGACGCTGTACGCAGAGGAGAGAAGCGCAGCCAAGCGAGTCATTTGCGATGTGCGATGCGTTGCGATGCGTTGCGTTGGGATGCGTTGCGTTGCGAGGAGCAGACGCAGTATTACACTGTGCTTTGCGAGGCCAGAGCTCCCGGCATGGCAACATGGCACGGGTATGGTTGCAGGCGCCGCTCCAGAAAGCCAAGCACAGCCCGGCCCTGACTTGTGGCATTTTGTGGCGATTCTTACGTTTTGGTCTCTAGCTAGCTGAAAGCAAGGGGCCTAACTTCAAGTAAAGAAAGGCTGGAGCAAATCCACGGAAGCTTCGACAATTGCCCGCACGTGGAGCAAATGTGGGCCTCTGTAGTTCGTTGGCTGACAGCACATGCTATGGGGGTCTATGCTGGTAGAATTTGAAGACCGTCATTTCAATCCAATGCTCTGAGGCACCTCCGAGACTGTGCGGGCGCTTCGCCGGGACGAGGCCATCGAGGCGATGGGAAAGGGAAAGGAGAGAATTCGGGAAATTCGGACATAGCCGCATGATTGTCCTGAGGTGCTCGAGGGTCCTGTGGAGTTCACGCCGGAGATCACGGAACGGCTGAAGGACTGAATGACACCTGTGGCACTTGTGGCACTTGTGGCACCTGTCAAACGCAGTTGCCAGGCCCGAGCGGTCAATGACGGGGCAATGGGCTGGGTGACAGCCACCACCAAAAGGCTCGCTCTGAATGCTCACATTCTCAGACAGTGACTTCTCGGACAGTCCTTCAGGCTGAAGCGTTGGTATCCTACGTACATGTGCAAGCAGAGCACTGCTGCAAGCTTAAGTGCGCATGAAAAGGTACAGTGTGCGCATGCAATGTGATTTGACGGCCATGCGGACGTGCTTGACCATATACAGTGCTGCTAGGTCCTTCAAGACACCTTGGCTACCAAGAGTGCCAATCTGGTTCGCAGAGTAGAAGAGGGCGAGGTTCTGGAGGTTCTGGATGGGCCCAAGGAGGAAGGGGCGCCAACAACACGAGGGGCAAGTGGAGAGCAGAATGCTCTTGCTTGTTGGGTGCAGGATGCAGAAGCCGGACTCCTGAGAGTCCGCGCCAAAGCTCGCAAAGATCAAGCGATAGGTGCGCGCAGCGACCAGCGTCAAGTCCTTATCCGTTTCGTCGTTCGTCGCTTTTTGTTTCGTCGGCAGGCTGGATCACCCTCCGAGGGAACCAGGGCACACTCTTTCTGGCTCAGCCCGCTCCTCGTGCGAGCGCCCGCGCGCTGGGGGTAAGCTTTCCTTTTAGGTGGACGGCACGAGACGAGCAGCTGGCAAAGCACCGCCCTCGGATCTACTTTTCTGCATTCTTCACGTGCCCTTTCGTTTTTGTTCGCTGCATCCTTTGAATCGTGTCGGCTGTGTTGCCGCATTTGCAGTCGTTCGCCGCCTGTGGCGTGGTGCCGCATTCGCGGATCCTCTTTTGGACCTGTCACGCAGCATGTCGAGGCAGCCCAAAGAGCAGAAGGAGAAGGAGCAGAAGGAAGAGAAGGAAGAGAAGAAGGTAGCCACAAGCAAGGCCGCACCGGACCAGATTCTGTTGCAAAGCCGTGCATGCTAACGCTGGAATGCTTTTGCGCACCGGTAGCTCCATGCAAAGCCGTCTCCAATCACGATGTCAATGTGGTCAAAACATCCGGCTGCCGATTTGGGGACTTAAACCTCCCACAAAGCGCTGGAGACCTTGGATACCTGCTAGTTTGCTCACGTCCTCAGTGGCACCGCACATTTTGACCATGGCTCAGACAGCAGATTATGAAGCCGGCCAGCAAGACACGATGTCAGCCTTGTTGCCAGCGACATTGAGCACTGTCTACTTTGACAGTTCGACACGCTCTAACTCAGGTTGTCCCTTCTGCAACTTGTTCCAATGGCTTTCTGCATGTACCCCAACAGAAAAAAAACGTCTCAGGTATGAGAAGAGTTGAGAGCCCGCGCCAGCTTGTGACCTGCGGTGCCATTTGTGTTCCACAGACTCATAGCCAGTCGCGCGTCCGGAGAAAGTCAAAGAAAAAGGTTGTGCCGCATTTTTTTGGAGTGTAATGTCAGACCGTTTACCGACACACTTGAGCGACTCTGCATCATTGTAAAGGTACTTGAGCAGAATCGTCTGAAGACAAGTAATGGATATGACAGATGTAGTGCAGCAATATGCATAATGTCGTTAAACTGGAAGTAACCATTTACCTGTCAAGGCGATGTAGCATACTGTAAGGCTCATGGCCTTGAAGTGGCATGGTCACATCATGGTGCAATGTAGAAGCTGTACAAGGGTATATTTTATCAGCCCCTTACAAGCTAACCCTCGTACAAGACAAACACTGTACTGCAAGCAGGCCGTTGCTGAAGAAAGAGGCTGCCGAAAGTTGGATTGACCGCACTTTGCAAGTTGCTGTTGCCAGGGCTGGGCAAGACTGGTGTGTGGTTGAGCGATGCTCCAATGATTCACAGAACTGAAGGCTTAGTCTTTGCTGAAGCCGTGCAGATGTAGATTCACAGAACTGAAGGCTTAGTCTTTGCTGAAGCCGTGCGTGTAGATTCAGCAGATGAGACAGGATGAGGACAGTTGCTGACAGGGCAAGCAGGCCGTTGCTGAAGAAAGAGGTTGCCGAAAGGTGGATTGACCGCACTTTGCAAGTTGCTGTTGCCAGGGCTGGGCAAGACTGGTGTGTGGTTGGGCGATGCTCCAATGATTTACAGAACTGAAGGCTTAGTCTTTGCTGAAGCCGTGCGTGTAGATTCAGCAGATGAGACAGGATGAGGACAGTTGCTGACAGGGCAAGCAGGCCATTGCTGAAGAAAGAGGTTGCCGAAAGGTGGATTGACCGCACTTTGCAAGTTGCTGTTGCCAGGGCTGGGCAAGACTGGTGTGTGGTTGGGCGATGCTCCAATGATTTACAGAACTGAAGGCTTAGTCTTTGCTGAAGCCGTGCGTGTAGATTCAGCAGATGAGACAGGATGAGGACAGTTGCTGACAGGGCAAGCAGGCCGTTGCTGAAGAAAGAGGTTGCCGAAAGGTGGATTGACTGCACTTTGCAAGTTGCTGTTGCCAGGGCTGGGCAAGACTGGTGTGTGGTTGGGCGATGCTCCAATGATTTACAGAACTGAAGGCTTAGTCTTTGCTGAAGCCGTGCGTGTAGATTCAGCAGATGAGACAGGATGAGGACAGTTGCTGACAGGGCAAGCAGGCCGTTGCTGAAGAAAGAGGTTGCCGAAAGGTGGATTGACCGCACTTTGCAAGTTGCTGTTGCCGGGGCTGGGCAAGACTGGTGTGTGGTTGGGCGATGCTCCAATGATTTACAGAACTGAAGGCTTAGTCTTTGCTGAAGCCATGAGTGTAGATTCAGCAGATGAGACAGGATGAGGACAGTTGCTGACAAGGCAAGCAGGCCGTTGCTGAAGAAAGAGGTTGCCGAAAGGTGGATTGACCGCACTTTGCAAGTTGCTGTTGCCAGGGCTGGGCAAGACTGGTGTGTGGTTGGGCGATGCTCCAATGATTTACAGAACTGAAGGCTTAGTCTTTGCTGAAGCCGTGCGTGTAGATTCAGCAGATGAGACAGGATGAGGACAGTTGCTGACAGGGCAAGCAGGCCGTTGCTGAAGAAAGAGGTTGCCGAAAGGTGGATTGACCGCACTTTGCAAGTTGCTGTTGCCTGGGCTGGGCAAGACTGGTGTGTGGTTGGGCGATGCTCCAATGATTTACAGAACTGAAGGCTTAGTCTTTGCTGAAGCCGTGCGTGTAGATTCAGCAGATGAGACAGGATGAGGACAGTTGCTGACAGGGCAAGCAGGCCGTTGCTGAAGAAAGAGGTTGCCGAAAGGTGGATTGACCGCACTTTGCAAGTTGCTGTTGCCAGGGCTGGGCAAGACTGGTGTGTGATTGGGCGATGCTCCAATGATTTACAGAACTGAAGGCTTAGTCTTTGCTGAAGCCGTGCGTGTAGATTCAGCAGATGAGACAGGATGAGGACAGTTGCTGACAGGGCAAGCAGGCCCTTGCTGAAGAAAGAGGTTGCCGAAAGGTGGATTGACCGCACTTTGCAAGTTGCTGTTGGCAGGGCTGGGAAAGCTTTGTGTGCTGTTGGGCGATGCTCCGATGATTTTACAGAACTGAAGGCTGAGTCTTTGCTGAAGCCATGAGTGTAGATTCAGCAGATGAGACAGGGTCTTTGCTGAAGCCATGAGTGTAGATTCAGCAGATGAGACAGGATGAGGACAGTTGCTGACAGGGCAAGCAGGCCGTTGCTGAAGAAAGAGGTTGCCGAAAGGTGGATTGACCGCACTTTGAAAGTTGCTGTTGGCAGGGCTGGGCAAGACTGGTGTGTGCTTGGGCGATGCTTCAATGATTTACAGAACTAAAGGCTTAGTCTTTGCTGAAGCCATGCGTGTAGATTCAGCAGATGAGACAGGATGAGGACAGTTGCTGACAGGGCAAGCAGGCCGTTGCTGAAGAAAGAGGTTGCCGAAAGGTGGATTGACCGCACTTTGAAAGTTGCTGTTGGCAGGGCTGGGCAAGACTGGTGTGTGCTTGGGCGATGCTTCAATGATTTACAGAACTAAAGGCTTAGTCTTTGCTGAAGCCATGCGTGTAGATTCAGCAGATGAGACAGGATGAGGACAGTTGCTGACAGGGCAAGCAGGCCGTTGCTGAAGAAAGAGGTTGCCGGAAGGTGGATTGACCGCACTTTGCAAGTTGCTGTTGCCAGGGCTGGGAAAGACTGGTGTGTGGTTGGGCGATCTTGCAATGATTCACAGAACTGAAGGCTTAGTCTTTGCTGAAGCCGTGCATGTGGACTCAGCAGATGAGACAGGATGAGGACAGTTGCTGACAGGGCAAGCAGGCCGTTGCTGAAGAAAGAGGTTGCCGAAAGGTGGATTGACCGCACTTTGCAAGTTGCTGTTGCCAGGGCTGGGCAGGACTGGTGTGCGGTTGGGCGATGCTTCAATGATTTACAGAACTGAAGGCTTAGTCTTTGCTGAAGCCATGCGTGTAGATTCAGCAGATGAGACAGGATGAGGACAGTTGCTGACAGGGCAAGCAGGCCGTTGCTGAAGAAAGAGGTTGCCGGAAGGTGGATTGACCGCACTTTGCAAGTTGCTGTTGCCAGGCGGTTGGGCGCTGCTCCAGTGATTTACCGAACTGAAGGCTTAGTCTTTGCTGAAGCCGTGCGTGTCAGATTCAGCAGATGAACAGCATGAGGACAGTTGCTGACAGGGCAAGCAGGCCGTTGCTGAAGAAAGAGGTTGCCGAAAGGTGGATTGACCGCACTTTGCAAGTTGCTGTTGCCAGGGCTGGGCAAGACTGGTGTGTGGTTGGGCGATGCCTCCAATGATTTACAGAACTGAAGGCTTAGTCTTTGCTGAAGCCGTGCGTGTAGATTCAGCAGATGAGACAGGATGAGGACAGTTGCTGACAGGGCAAGCAGGCCGTTGCTGAAGAAAGAGGTTGCCGAAAGGTGGATTGACCTTCACTTTGCAAGTTGCTGTTGCCAAGGCTGGGCAGGATTGGTGTGCGGTTGGGCGGCTTAGTCTTTGCTGAAGCCGTGCGTTGCTGACAAGGCAAGCAGGCCGTTGTTGAAGAAAGAGGTTGCCGAAAATTGGATTGCCCGCACTTTGCAAGTTGCTGTTGCCATGGCTGGGCAGGACTGGTGTGCGGTTGGGCGATGCTCCAATGATTTACAGAACTGAAGGCTTAGTCTTTGCTGAAGCCGTGCGTGTAGATTCAGCAGATGAGACAGGATGAGGACAGTTGCTGACTGGGCAAGCATGCCGTTGCTGAAGAAAGGGTCTGCCGAAAGTAGGATTGATTGTTGCCAGTGCTGGGCAAGACTGGTGTGCGGTTGGGCGCTGCTCCAGTGATTTACAGAACTGAAGGCTTAGTCTTTGCTGAAGTCGTGCGTGTAGATTCAGCAGATGAGACAGGATGAGGACAGTTGCTGACAGGGCAAGCAGGGCAGTTGCTGAAGAAAGAGGCTGCCGAAAATCGGATTGACCGCACTTTGCAAGTTGCTCTTGCTAGGGCTGGGCAGGCCTGGTGTGCGGTTGGGCGATGCTCCAATGATTTACAGAACTGAAGGCTTAGTCTTTGCTGATGGCTAGCGGGTGGATGCAGCAGATGCCATTCGCACTGTATTTGGAGTGTCTGGTGGATTTGAAAGGGACCACACACGCAACAAGATGCGGGGGAGATGTGTCCCCAACAAGGAACTGATTGTTTTTCTTGCGCGCAAACTTTTCAGCTCAAGGGCGGATGCGCGATGGGTGAAGCCTGCGATGTCTCTTCTGATGACGCACCTGGCGGAGCCAAATCGGAGCCGGCGCCCGGGCCGAAGCTTGCGGCAAAGCGGGGCCGGCAGTGGGAGCCACTGCCTTATGGCTGGATTCGGAAGAAGTCCAAGACCAAGGGAGCGTACTACTACGCGAACATCCTCACTGGCTGCTCGGGTCCAATTGAAATGGGACAGTGTCATTCAAGAACCATTTCGGAACGTGCGCGGGCTCGTTGAGGGAGCCGTGTTGTCACTCGCCTGCTGGCTCCATTTTGAGGCAAAACGCAGGTGGAGAAGCCTGGCGCGTCCAAGGCAGCGCAGGGTGCACGAGACGCGGTCCGTGCGCGAGACGCGGGCCGCCATGCAAGAGATGCAAGGCACGCAGGCCAGGGCTAAGCTCGGGCACGGAGGATAGGCGGCGCTTTTGGGCCAGGTAGGGAACCAGCTGCGTCGAAGAGGCGGGCCCGAGGTCGAGGGCAGTGCCTAGGGCTGTTTGTGCAGGGAAGACTACGAAGCGGCCGAAGCTGAGTTGGAGGAGGCCAAGCGCCAGGCGGGACACTGGGACTTCCGAAGCCTAAAACCGAAGCTTCCGAAGCTTCGACTCCGGGGGGCCAGCGGGGCCCTTGCGCAACCTGCGCAAGGCGGCCGAGCGTCGTGCTGCGCGCAGAGCGCTGAGCCCCGAGAGCCCCGAGAGCCCCGAGAGCGACGGCGGCGACTCGGGCGCCGAGTGTGCGGTGACGGGGGAGGCACGGGCGACGGGCGACGGGGGGCGAAAGGGGGCAGAAAGACCTGAACGACCTGAACGACCTGAACGACCTGAAAGACCTCGGGTTCTGGTTGAAGGTTCTAAGGTTCTAAGGCCCTTGGCAGGAGCTGGAGAAATGGAAGGCCGCGGAGCAGCTGCGAGAGTGGCGGCAGGCGACGCACAGTTCCACAATATGACTGCTTTCTCCTGAACAGTCTGAGTGTCACGATGCTGGCACCTCTTGGCTCGTGTCTCGAGTTCGGATAATCTGAGGGTGACAGTGCCTTCACAAGTGCGACTGTTCCAGGCTCAGCGAGAGCAGGTGCCGGACGAGCTCCCACCAGTGCCCCGTGTGATTGCACCTTGCTTGGACATCCTTAAGGAGTGATCCGTGTCGATGCGGCTCCGTGTCGGAAACGTGGGGAATGTTAAACTTACGCCAGCCTAAGCCAACGCAAAAACCAGTGTTCGAACATAAGCCACTGGTTGCCCTTGCCGTGGCAGGATGGGAAGTGGGTGGAGCGGCACACCCTGTCTGGCAACAAGCAGCGCTGGACTCTGGGCAGGGCTGCTGGTGAGGTGGACTTTGTCATGAACCACCCAAGCATCTCGAGGACAGACTCGAGAGGTGAGAGAGGCCAGAGACTCGCTTGTGACTCTCAGGCAACACGCTGCGCTGACCAGGGGCGGGGTGGGCATGTACTTGATGGATTTGGATTCCGGCCATGGCATCTACTTGAATGGCCAGCGGATGGAGAAGAGCCTTCGCGTCCACTTGACACATGGAGCTGCCATTAAGTTTGGGAACTCCACCAGGCTGTACTATTTCCATGAGCCTTCGCCGTAACGCCTTCCGGCTTTGCTAATGAGCTGCTAATGCATGGCCCTTGCGGGCAAATCAAAAAGGAAGCCGCGCAGCGATGTATTCAGTTTTAGTGTGAGGTGTGTGCAGTGTTGCTTCACGGAATTTGGCGGGAATCCTGCCTGCTGGACCACGCTCAAGTCTGCCAGTGTTCTAAGTACCAGGAATCCATATTGTACAGACGTAGATATTCAATGGCTATGTCACGAAGACTGTCGGCCTTGGCAATCCTCCTCCGTGCTTTCTCTGAGGATGTGGACTCAGATTATGCTTTTTCTGTGGATGCCAGCGGGCAGCCGCGACAGATGAAGGCGGATCCAATGAGTCTGACTGCAATTCTGCCGCACTGGGCAGATGAGACGCTTGCGGAGGGTAGTCACGCCGCTGATCCAGATGAAAACGCGGAGGAGGCGGACGATGAGGCTGACTCAGACGAATCTTCGGAGGACTCCAAGGGTGAATATACCTTCGCATACCGTCAGCATGTGGTAGGCTCAACGCCGACTGGCCCACTTGGAATCGGCACTCCTTCCGTGTCACTGAACATGATCTTGGACACCGGCAGCGACAAATTTGTGGCCAAGACCTGGTCGACCATCAAAGCGGAGCTGGACAAAATTGACGCCGGTGCTTCTGACGAAGTCTTTCCAAGCTCCAAGCTCTACAACCACAACTCATCAAAGTCATACATGCAGCTCTTCATATCTCAGCACGGCAAGAAAGTGCCACGCCAGGGCTTTATCGCATACGGGAGTGGCATGGCAATCACTTTGGAGGGAAGAGAGACGATCCGCATCGGAGATGAGCAACAGTTCGTTACCATGCCAAAGTTTCCGATTTCAGAGATCAGCCTGGACTCGCTGCAAATCTTGCACTCCACCAAGGGCATCTCCGGCATTCTGGGGCTTCAGCACATGATGAAGCTTGCCTGCAAGCGTCGAAGTGTGCTTTGTTTGACCTGTACACAACACAGAGACAACTGAAGACGGGAGCAGCAGATTGAGCGCGAATGTTGGTGACAGAAGGCAGCTAGCCGACTAGATGCTGGAACCTGACGGCTAGCTGACTCGCTGGCTGGCAAAGCAACAAACCTGTTTGCTTCCGGTTGGCAGCGCGCACAGTGTTGTTTTTCCGTGTCTTTCCATGAAGGGCCCATGAACTCCTGCCCAGCACGAGTAGCTAAAACGGGCGCTACGGATGATTTCCGGCGGGGAGGTGAATGGCTAGCACAGAGGACGCCAGATGAACGAACTGACTTCATCTAAGGAATCGATCTCTGGGCCAGTCTTTCTACTCCGTTTTGAGAGACAAGGGCGTGCTCCACTCCTTTGGCTACTGCCGGGGCAAGAACAATGACGGTGCGGTTCTCATCCACCGATCCGACTGTTGTCCATGCCGGATGGAAGCCCAGGTACCTTCCTGTGGGGAGACAAGCCGGGATCCCAGTGCTATCCCAGTGCTCCGCAATTTCGACCGCCGAGTTCCCGTCGCAAGGTCTGCTGATGGGAGGCAAGTGGATGTGGAGGGGCAGATGCATTGGGCTGTGAAGTTGCGCAGCATGCGCTTAACCCACAAGCGATCCAGCTGCATTGTTTGACCGCCCAAGTCTATGCGTATTTAGCAAGAGCACAGCCGCCCAGGCACAAGACAGCGCTCATTGAGCGCTTTGATGCACGGGATAGTGATGAAGAACAGGACTGGCTGAGGTTCATGTTTTTGGAGCGGAGCTGGCAAGACTCAAGGAAGGCCAGAGGGACTGTCAGGGAGTGCTAGAGAAGCGGTAGCTTGTCCAATGTGCCAAGCCTTAGTCCTTGTGCAAAGGAGTCCCATCAGAAGTTCCAGCTCTGCCACCCCAGTCATTGCGTGGCAGTGATCGATACAGGGTCCAACATCATTGCAATGCCATCAGAAGCTGTGAGGAGCTGTGGGAAGTGTACTGCGCTGTGAGTGCCGTATGTGAGATTTTGGCTTGCAGGACTCTTTCCAAAGTCCTTGATGTTGCCACGGACTGCTCCAACATGGGTCGCTTGCCCAACCTGCACTTCTCGTCCGGCCCTCAAGAGTTCTCCAGGCAGGGGAGGCTGTTTCGGGCCAGGCTTGGTGATGTGCACATCTCCCTGCCCCCCGCGGCTTACATCATGAAGGTGAAGCTGCCGGGCTTGAAGAGCGCCGGCAAGAAGAAGGACGCGAACTCGGAGGTGGAGACGGACGACTCCGAGTCGACCTCCGAGTCGACGGCCGAGTCGTCCGAGTCGGACCCGGAGATCTCCAAGACCAGCTCACCGAAGGACTTGAGCCTCCCAGGCCGTTTCCGGCGCGGGCGGCCACCGCTGCAGCTGGCTGAGACGGAGGCGGAGGCCTCTTACTTGGCTCAGGTGGACCACTTGGTGGAGGACACGGGAGCAAAGCTAAACAAAAACCAAACAAACATGAGTGACTGAGTGTGGATTTGCTTCGCTGGGCTGCTTCGTAAAAGGAGACATTCCGTCAGCACGGCCTTGATCTCCGTGCCGTCGTGAAGACAGACCTGGCTCAGTTGCTTCGGAATACCTCCACTCTGCCTTGCTCTCAGACTGGGACTGGACTTTTGGGATTTCTCAAATTCGAAAGGATTCGAAAGGATTCGCAAGGTGCATGCCGGCCATTGTGCCGCTGGATCGGGAGACCCAGAAAGGCACCCTGCTGGTGGCCCGCCCGGCGCCTTTCCGTGAGCCGTTTCTGGCGCCGTCGCGTTTCAAATGGCCAGGTCGGCGGGCCGCTCTTCGAGAAGCGCGGAGCTGCGTGCGGATCCCAGCACATAGCACGGCTCGCAGGTACTACACGCGCTGGTCTTGGCCTGACGGACAGACCCCCAAGATCTTCGTCAAGGATTTGCACAAGACGGATGCTTGCGAAGTCCAGAAGGAGTGGCCCGGCTGGTGCTCCGGTGCTTTGCAAGGTTGCGAATTGCCCGTCCCACAGGAGACGAAGCCTGAGAAGAGCGTGCCCAAGATGACGGTGTGGAGGAACCACAACGAGCACGCAGAGCATGAGCATGCGGAGCACGGGCGGATGATTCGTGGACCTGGCATGGCTTGCATGGCTTGCATGGCTTGGAAGGGTCTCCTTTGGAATTGAGGCACTGAGAAGGGCCACGTGAAGGATCCGAAGCCCGCAGAGCTCAACGAGATGGATTCGGAGATGGATTCGGAGCTGAGGCCTGGGGCGGACCGGCTTCGGCGGCTTCCGCAGTTAGGTTTGATCAATTTAGCGCGCTAGTGTTGCCGCGGAAAGTTCAGGACGGCACGTTTCATGCAACTGATTCCAAGAATTGTCCAAAAAACGGGAGACCACCGGCGACTTTTGGCCAGGAATTGTTGGTGCATGAGCATTCTGTTTTTACATGCACAGAATCTGTATCCAGGCAATACCCAAGCCCCGAAATTTTGACTATCTCATGATACCATCCTGTGACTGGGTCATATGAATCTGACAATATTGGATCTTGAAGCCAGGCCAAAATCCCGCGCTTTAGCATTCTATGTACCAAGTAAATAGCTTTCTAACCTTCATAAGTTTGAATTGCTGTCAAACGTTTTGCAAATAAACAGGAAACGTGTCACGTGCTTGAGCGCCATCACGAGCAAAGTAAGGTCCGAAAGTAAGGTCCTTTCTCAACGATTCGTTTCTTGACTTGGCCGCCTCCAGATTTTTGGTTTGCTCAATCCAGATGCCACGGTGCTGAAGTCTCTTGCTAAGGCGGCGTGGCAAGAGCATCAGTTGCATCGGTCCAAGTGGCTGTGGGTCAAAAATAGGTGTCCAAAATGGAACTCTGGTAAATGGAAACATGGACCAAAACCTGCGGTCCCCCGGTGGTTTAGTTTTGACATAACCAAGAGTGCCGTCTCAGATTCAGCCTTCGGCCCGTGCCTGCCTGCCTGCGTGCCTGCGTGCCTGCGTGCCTGCGTGCCTGCGTGCCTGCGTGCGTGCGTGCGTGCGTGCGTGCGTGCGTGCGCTCGTTTGCCCTCGATCGACGGAACAAGCCTGGCCCGCAACAGGCCTCGTGAGCTGAACTTGGAGGAGATTCGGTGTCTTGACGGCAGGGTTTTCGCCATCTCCCTTTTTCCTGGCTGCGTGTTCAGGTACCCGCACTGGGCCAAGTACCTCACCGACTTGTGAGGCCAAGAGCCCAAGTAAGCGGTTTGGGCAGTGGCAAAACTGATGCGAGCGCATCTCTCATGCATCTCTCGCGCTTTTGCGAAGCTGGAGTCAGCGATCAGCTCAAGGCTTGTGAACTCTATGCTTTACCATCATTTACTCCTAGCCTCGTACACAGGGAGGATCAGGACCCAGAATCACTATGACGCACGCACTGCTTTGGAGTCCAATGCAATGTCCCCGGGCCCAATCACACAATGTGCCGGGACTGGCCTTGGCATTGTCGGTCCGGGCCTTGGAGGCAGCATCAGATTTCAAAGCAGAGCTAGCATCTTGCCGTTAATTCGCTTTGTTCTCTCTCATTCTTGTTTGTTGCTGCTTTCCTCGCTTCCATTCAATGTTTCTCGTTTTCCGAGATCTCCTGTCTCCACTCTTCAGAAAACATGATTCTCTTTTGCCCACTAAATATGCATCCCTTTCCAGTATTTCAGTGTTCAAAGTAAAGTTCTTGATTTTTGCTTGATTTGTTTGAGTTGTCCTTTCCTTGTTCTTGTATGTCACATTTGTTTCTTTAGCAACTCGGCGTAGAATGCTTTTTGGCCCTCTTGTGTGCGCTTGGCCTACCCTTCTTTTCTTTGCTGAGTCTGCCGACCGCATGATGTCAAATTTATGTGCTCTCATGTCAACCTTTGGTGCTTTCCTGCTGCATACTACTCATTGGCAAGATCATTTGCCGCTTGTCTTGCCAGGTGTTTCCCCCTGCCGCTGGTGCTTTTTCATCCATTTGGATTTGCTCTCTTGCGCTCTTGAATTTCCATCTTCCTTTGCTTCCTTGTATCCCTTTCTCTCTTTCTCTCTTTCTCTCTCTCTCTCTCTCTCTCTCTCTCTCTTTCTCTCTCTCTCTTTCTCTCTTTCTCTCTTTCTCTCTTTCTCTCTTTCTCTCTTTCTCTCTTTCTCTCTTTCTCTCTTTCTCTCTTTCTCTCTTTCTCTCTTTCTCTCTTTCTCTCTTTCTCTCTTCTCTCTCTTTCTTTCTTCTCTCTCTTTCTCTCTTTCTCTCTTTCTCTCTTTCTCTCTTTTCTCTTTCTTTCTCTCTTTCTCTCTTCTCTCTCTCTTCTTCTCTCTCTTTCTCTCTCTTTCTCTTTCTCTCTTTCTCTCTTTCTCTCTTTCTCTCTTTCTCTCTTTCTCTCTTTCTCTCTTTCTCTCTTTCTCTCTTTCTCTCTTTCTCTCTTTCTCTCTTTCTCTCTTTCTCTCTTTCTCTCTTTCTCTCTTTCTCTCTTTCTCTCTTTCTCTCTTCCTGACATTGCACAGGAGGATGGCTGGCTGGGTAGGGTCTCTGTGCTTTCTTAATGCGGACTGCATTTGCCGTAGCCACTGCGGCTTGAGCTAGTCGCACGGCACTTCACCCTTCTTTGGTTTTGGGCCATGGGTGACCTGTGGTGAGGTCGAGTCCTTCAGATGTTGCTTTGCAGGCTGTCTTGGATCTAGGCGTTGAAAATGACGCCGATTTAGCGTGCATCTTTACTGCAGAGAGGGACATGTTCGATATCTCTGCAGATGCTCACGTGGTACGCTGCGTTACACATGCTTGGAAGGTGGCAGGCATTCAGCTGCAAGTGAAGTTGGACATGCCAGAGAAACGAGCCAGACGTGCGCCCAAAGATGAGGTGCAAGCCGCCTGCCCAATTGCTTCCTAGGGCCCACAGGGCAGACTACGCAGCAAAGCCTTTGAGTGCAGCCAGCCACTCCAGAACCAAAGAACATGCTCTTGCGCACGGTGCTTGAGGTTGTTGCCCAGTCTGGGGCCAGTAACACTCAGTTCAGTCGTGAAGTTTGGGATGCTCCAGATGATCACTTTGATCTCTTTGCTGCTAGGTTCAAGAACGCTTGAAGGCACACATGAGCGCTTTGAAGAGGTGGGTGCGGTGGCATAGCGCCCATGCTCCAGCTGAACGTTTCGTACTGGAACTTATCTAGCGTTGTCCTTGCCCGCTTCTTGGCGCGTGTTGCGCAAGGCGGCCGTACTGCCTCCTGTCACATGTTTGCGTCACTTAAATGGTGGTGCAGTGTGGCTGGGCTTCCTTTGCCAGTGGCTGACGGTTTGGTCAGCCGCAGCGAGTGACCATACTGTTAAACCCCGAAAACTACTCCCTCTAGGCATATTTTGGGCCATGCTCGAGGCACTAAAAACTGCTGGGTCAGTTGCTTCTTTCTTGACGTGGACAGTCGTGCTGCTTGTGGCTTGTCTACGCTTTGCGCGCAGTAAACAGTCGCATTCGCTGAGGCTTCATGAGGGCTTCCTGCGTGCGACGTGTAGTCAAGGCAAAAGGCGAGTCCAGGGCAGGAGGCCCCCCTTTGATTGGGCAATTCCTGCCAAACTATCGCAATCCATTGATTTGTCTAAGCAATTGCTGCTGGACAACTCTATCTCCCGGGAGATAGAGGTGCAGCTTGGGAGGCCGCCGACATTGTTGGCCAGGTCCTGCGGTCATGGCAGTGCGACGGACTTTCGGCCTCCTTCTGGATTTTTCCGGGGCAGCCACAGAGCTTGCCATGCGGGTGTTCAAGACACTCTTGCCCAGAAGAGCTTGTCAGCGCAGGCTTCTAAGCTCAGGGGGCGACTGCAGTGGGCCAGCTCAGCCATGTATGGACGAGTTGCTCGAGGCGGTCAGGGTCCGCTGGTGCGCCGTCAGTATGAGGATGCTGATGACCTCACGCCAGAACTCAGCAGATCTCTGAAGTGTATGTTGGCTTTGCTACAGGTGGTTGGTCCACGTGAGGTGCCTCTGTCAGATCTAGCGCTTGTTGCACTTTGTCACTTGGTTTGGGCATTAGTGCCGGCTCTGAAATATGCCGTGCCTTCCATGGCATACGTGCAGTGCAGCTCCACTCCTTGTCGCTGCTCAGGGCCTAGTGCGTTGGGATTGGGAGGTGCGGCGGGTCTGTGATGGAGGACGTCCGCGGGAGTTTTTGTGACGTTCTTGTGTGTGAGGCTTACTCTTCCAATGCATTAGGGCCTGAGCAGGACAAACAAGGAATGCGAGTTGCAGAAGAGATCGCTGAGCTGAATGCGTGCTCGCATTATCTCTTTCTCTCTTTCTCTCTTCCTCTCTTTCTCTCTTTCTCTCTTTCTCTCTTTCTCTGTTTCTCTGTTTCTCTCTTTCTCTCTTTCTCTCTTTCTCTCTTTCTCTCTTTCTCTCTTTCTCTCTTTCTCTCTTTCTCTCTTTCTCTCTTTCTCTCTTTCTCTCTTTCTCTCTTTCTCTCTTTCTCTCTTTCTCTCTTTCTCTCTTTCTCTCTTTCTCTCTTTCTCTCTTTCTCTCTTTCTCTCTTTCTCTCTTTCTCTATTTCTCTCTTTCTCTCTTTCTCTCTTTCTCTCTTTCTCTCTTTCTCTCTTTCTCTCTCTCTCTTTCTCTTTCTTGTGAAGCTACATGCTTCACTTCCTGCATTTGTGTTGCATGTATGTTCACTACTGCAGGCCTTGAGCTCACTACATTGCATGAGCCAAAAGGTTGGCAGCTGCAGACTACATTGGTTGACTGTTTGTTTGAACACTACACCGCTTGCGCTTGTAAGTAAAAGTAGCAACCGATTTTAACGTGGTAGCGGAGCTGAGATCCTAAACATAGGGGAGCTCCAGTAAGCAGTAAGTGCTACAACCGCAGCAACAGCAGTCACATGCCAAACTACTACGACATGTCAGGAGAAGCAGCATCAGCCTCAGCGCAACAAATTACAGGAGCAGAGAACGGGCCAACAGCAGACACAGTAGGAGCCACGACTACGGGAGCAGGAGCAGAACAAGACAATGACGCTCAGAGACTACATAGATACAAACTGCCACCACCTTTCTTCACTGGTGACTACTCCCAGTATGAAGAATGGCTGTTCAAGCTACAAGCATCTCATAGACCGAGACTTCGACCTGGTGCTACAGCTAGCACAAGTGGCTACACGACAGATTGAGGACACAGACATCAGAGCACACATACTCGACCCTACACAAGCAAGCAAAGCAGTAGACCTCTCCAGAGATCTACACTACATCTTCATCAACATCTGTCAGGGAGCAGCGGTTACAGTAGTAAGGCCGGCAAAACCGCTACAACGCAAACGGATGCGAAACACTGCGACTCCTACAGGTTCAGCCTACCAGTAGGAACAAGAAGCGTTGGCTACCTTACCAAACTACTGGACCCTACATTCAACGAAGCGCAGTTTGAAGAACAATTCCTGCAATGGGAATACGACATCAACCGCTACGAGAAAGACAACGGCGCAGCACTACCAGCTGGAATCAAAATAGCAATACTACTCAACAAGACCAAAGGAGCGCTGCAGCAACATCTCCAACTGCGAGCTGGACAGATCACGAGCTACATCGAGATCAGAGCAGTCATCCTGGACTACTACAAGACGATTTCAGCCTTCTCGAGATCGACTTCAGCAGTAGGAACAAACTACAATGGAGGAGCTGCACCAATGGATGTTGACAACATATGGAGGAAAGGAAGAAACTACAAAGGCAAAGGAAAAGGCAAAGGCGACTACAAAGGAAGCAAAAGCAAAGGCAAGCACAGGAGTAAAGGACACCACAAAGGATTCGACAAAGGCAACAAAGGAAACTGCAACAAAGGAGGATACAACAAGAGCAAAGGAAAAGGCTACTCAGGATCCAAAGGATATGGATCAAGCACAGGCTACAAAGGCCAAGGAAACTACAGCAAATCAAAAGGAAAAGGAAACAACAATTACATAACATGCCATCGATGTGGCAAGCCTGGCCACTGGGCACAAGACTGCAGAGTGCCAGTATGGCACATAGGAGAAGGAGAAGAACTACATCCACTAGAACAAGAACAAGCAGATCATGACAACAATGAAGAGCTACCTCAGGATGTGAACGACACCTGGGACTGGTGCTACGAAGGAGAAGAAGGACGACACAAGGTAAACTACATGGAGGAGAACTGGAACGACTACGACTATGGCAACAGCTGGGATTGGAATGACAACAGCTATGAGAACACAGCATTGGAGGCACCAACGAGTCACACCTCACCATTGGACACATCAGACAAGCAAAGTCACGACTACGCAAGCACAAATCCAAAATCACTACTTGGCAAGAAAACAACACACACAACATCATGGAACCACCACAGCAAGAGCTTTCAACAGTTCCTACAAGAAGACACCGCACAGCTACACCTCGACATAGCAGCAGCAACACAACAGCAAAGGAGCAAGAAGATTGAGGACACAATTACACACTACATCATGTACTCCAACTTCAAGTCACACCACCACCTGTTGATCGACTCAGGAGCATCTACACATGTTTGTCCGAAGGACTACGCGCCAGACCTACCGCTACGACCTTGTGGAGAATCAGTTTTACAACTCTACACGGTTACCACCAAGAAGATTCCTGTCTACGGCATCAAGTACGTTCCCTACAAGCAGGACAACTTCAGGATCATGGTACCCTACCACGTTTGTGATGTGAAGTATCCAATCCTCAGTGCATCAAGACTACTTGATAGAGGATATGGACTCGACTTCAATCCACGACACTGCACCATCACACATGGACAGCAAGAACAAATTGCACCACTCACCCACAGACCAAGTACTGCGACAGATCCTTGGTGGAAACACTGACTACTGGAAACTCGATGGTGGCTACGCCATCAGAGTACATAAACGACCACGAACGCATTGTTCACACCACAACAGTGGTTGCCCAACACCAGAAGGAGAACTAGATGATTGGCGACTAACCATCACCAACAGACAAGGGCAAGAGTAAGAACAACTACAAGAGAACCCAACACATCTTTCCAAGCAAGAACTACAACGAAGACTAGAAGGTGACAACTGGACTGGAGAAACCAGATTCAGAAGAAAGATAATACCTACACGCAGAGCAACGTCAAAGACCGCACCAACAAGGCTCACAACCACAACGGCTAATGGACACACCACCAACCAGATCAAAGATCCAACTACGAGCACCACGAAAGATATGGAGACCTAAAGCAGCACCTTCTACAAATCTTGACACCACACAACCAAAGGAGACAATCCACAGACCACTCACAGCACAGGAGGACAACCAAGACTACTGCACTGGGAAAGTGAACACTGGATAAGACACCACGCAACACTTAGAACAACTCTCTTCACTTCAACAGATGGACCAGGACATCCACCAATCAGCACACTTGAGCCTCACAGAACTACAATCACTCACAACAACTTTGGAGAAGTTTCACAACGCAGACGGGCAACGCAGCACTACCATTTCAATGGAAAGGAACAACAAGGTTCACCGTGAAGAAAGACTACGAGTACATCCAGGCGAACCACGGTGAGGAACAACAACACTAGCATCGTGAAGCACACAGAGCAAGAGGACTACGACAACCACAGCAGCCCACTCCACAACAAATAGCAGAACACAATCTTACACATCTACCATACAGAAGCTGGTGTCCAATTTGCGTTCAAGGCAAAGGACGCCAAGACAACTACAAGAAACAACAATCACGACAACCCGTCAGTCAAGTAGACTTCGCCTACATCAAATCAGTACTGACAGCAGTTGATGTTACTACACAACTGTGTGTGGCAGTAGTGGCCCCGGACAAACCATCAATGATGGACTACATGGTCAACAACCTACAAGCATTCATCTTCTACAAAGTGACAACGAAGACACACTCAACGCACTTCTAAAAGCTACAGCAGCAAAAGTCGGCTCAAAGACTGTTAGGCATGCGCCCCCCTACAGCAGTAACAGTCAAGGAAGTTTTGAGCGACTACACCGAACACTCCTCGGGCAGGTACGCGTCGTCAAAGCGCAGGTTGAAAGCAACTACAGCATGACGATGTCCACAAAGCACTGTCTACTACCTTGGATAGTACGACATGCAGCATGCACGGTAAATCGCTACGTCATCCACTCAGACGGCTACACACGCTTTGAACGCAGCTGGGGAAGAAACTACGAGCGAGCAATCTGCGAATTTGGCGAGACACTACTTTACCTTCCACCACAGCGCAAGAAACTTCCAAAAGCAGACCTACGGATGCAGAAATGCATCTGGCTCGGAAAAGTTTCCGAAACCGGAGAAAACTACGTCGCGACGGAATCAAAAGGTACGAACAGTACGGGGACTACAACCGGACTTCAAACTCGACCTCGCGCTGTTGAACAAAGTTTCCGGCACATCATGGGCACCACGACGGAACACCTACAACCCGTCGTTCGCAACGCTGTTGGATACGCAACTACAACCGTCAGGGAAAAGAAGGTCCACACAAGACTTCGGACAACAGACGAACGCGACGGACGACATCGTTGCGGAACCCGCAACAAAACAGCAACGCGCCACACCGCCTCCACGACTTCCATCTACATCGACGTCAAGTTCACGACCACTACCGGATAGTCCTATGGCTACTTCACCAACTGGACGACAACATCCACCACTACCAGCACCACCTCGACAAACACTAAGACGTTTAACTCCGGAAGAAGTAATGCAACCAACCAAAGCACAGAAGACCTCAAAAGACACTACAATCAGATCAACGGAGCAAGCAACCAAAGAACCGCAACCGCTACGACGGAAAATCAGCGCAGTGACACTTCCCAACGGAACATCCATCACTCCCTACACAAACGACGACACCTCAGAAGACAAACCCATAATCTTCGACAACGAAGGCTATGACGAAACACAACTACTGGAAGGAATGAAACACGAGTCAAACCAAATGAAACTACACGACGTCTACGACGAAGTAGATGCGTCTACCGTCGATGACAACATCCAAAAAGACGCGATGCCTACAAGATGGGTGCGCAGAAAGAAAGGACCAGGAGTACGAAGCCGGATCGTCGCAAAAGGCTACACGGAGAAGATCGAGGACGAAGACTCCGTCTACGCCTCTACACCAATGTTCACGACACTCCGGACACTTCTCGCACTACAAATGTCACGACCAAACTGGATCGCGCGACTAGGTGACGTCTCTACAGCATTTCTACACGCACCCATCGCAAAGAGCCACGACGGTAAACGACGTGACGTCTACCTTTGGCCACCTAAAGAACTTTGTCCACAACAGGACAAAATCTGGCGACTAAAGAAAGCCATGTATGGACTACGCAGTTCACCAAAAGCATGGCAGGACTACCTGGCTGAAGTGTTACAAAAGCTCAGCTTTGTAAGACTAACGTCTACACCAATGCGACTCGCGACTGCTACATCATGGTCTACGTGGACGATCTACTGGTACTTGGAGACAAGACTGCGGTCAACTCCATGTTCAAGGCCGTCCAGAAATAGGTCCTACTCAAGCACATCGGCAACCTCGAACCTGGCAAACCACAACAATTTCTTGGAAGAAACATCGACCACTTCGGCAAATTTCTGCAACCTTGGACTAAAGGACTCCTACATCGACAACATGATCGAGGAGTCTGGAATGACCAACTGCAACACAGTGACCGCTCCAGGAATCGCCCACTACAAACCAACAATAGAGGATGAAGCGCTTCTTGACCACGAACAACACAGAAGGTACAGAAGGATTGTTGGCAAACTTCAATGGTTAGCACACACACGACCAGACATCGCATACTCTACAAAAGAACTGGCACGAGACCTCACAGCGCCTACAGAACTTTCACAAAAGAGAGTCAAACATTTACTACGCTACTTGCACGGCGCCAAGCGCTACAAATTCACCATAGAACCAACAACAACACTCAGAGCAAACACCAACAACATCCTGGATCTCGACGTTCATGTCGATGCCGACTGGGCAGGATGCCCTACTAAAAGGAAATCAACTTCAGGTTTCAACATCATCTTTCTAGGAACAACAGTTGCGTTTGGCAGCAGAACGCTAAGCTACAATAGCACTCAGCTCAGCAGAGTCTGATCTCTACGCCATTTGCGCAGGAGTTAATGACGGACTACACCTCAGAAACTTCCTACTTGAAACCAACATTTGCAGCAAGCTAAACCTACGCATCCACACAGACTCCACAGCAGGCAGGAGCATTGCTACACGACAAGGCACTAGCAAACGAGCAAAGCGCATCGACCTCAAATTTCTCTACACACAAGACCTCATCAAACACGACATCATCAGAATCCTTAAGATCAACACACTTCACAACAGCGCAGGTTTGTTTACCAAATACATCAGCAAAGAAACACTACACAGGCTCATCCAGAGCATTGGGATACACATTTAGCACTACGAACGACCAGTGCAACAGTTTCACAACAACAACAACAACAACAACGACTTTGGACATTTCTTGTATGTACGTAGCTACATGTAACACGACACCTTTGGTATGTAAGTAACAGTAACTACATGTATTTCCACTTGCACTTTTGGCGGCTGAGTCAACACTACAGCTGTTTGTTTTACATGTCTGCATGCGCCGCCTGCCTGATAGCTACTACTCAAACTCATTTTGTTTTTTGCCCCGTTTCACTACATTTTGCATTCCACTGCAGCCATGGCCGCTCCATCTACTGCAGATGCTACGATGGGAGATGCAACTACGCCTGACAGGGCGACTACACCGCAGGTGGCGGTCCCTACAGACTCCAGTGACCAAGGAACTCCACCCCCTCAGACCTACAACGAGTCCAACTACCGCTTCACTGACTCCACGCCTGGCAACACGGCTTACTACAACCCGGCAACTGGCATGGACCAACTACACATCACGGAGTACCAGGCAACCAACACTCCCTACACTCAGTTTTTTTCTCACTGCACTTACACTGGAAGAGTATCAACTGCTCTCACCACAACAAGCAACTCCACTTTCACAACTGGACTACACACGATCCATTCACTGCATCCCTGGAGACCTCCGGATGCCTCACTACAATTCCACACTGCTCAGCGTTTCGCTACCTGAAGCAGCCAACGTCCACTACTACCACGCGACTTCACTCCACACTACGACTGGCAACAACACCAACTACGTCATCATCCAACTACAGGTACCTCACTTCAGGACAATTTCTCCACTTCACCAGAGACTACATTTCCTACATGATGCCAGTACAACAGAACTACCACCTCCCAACTACACAACATCCACAAACCATCTACCAGGTGGACTACAACGTGACCACCTTCACCGACAACTACAGCCTGAGGAATAGCTACATTTGGAACTATCACATGCCACTACTTCTACCGGAACTACTCCACTACCTCTACAACCGCGACCAACTCCACGACTTTCAACACAAGGCCATCACTACCATCCTTTGCAAGAGCACCCAGTACTATGGTTTTACACTACTCACCATGACCAACCTTACCCAACACCACAAAGCACTACTACATCGTTTCCTTAGGGATTACGACCAACATATGTCGTGCCCTGAGATAGACGATGAGAGACTACGAGGCGCTCCAAACTACATGACAACCTTTTTCACCACCCACTACTACGCGACCTTGGACAGTCGACGAAAAACGGTCCAAGCCTACCGCGCCCAGAACTGGGCACTACATGCTTGAGCTCCTGCTCTACAATGAGTAACTGCCTCACGAATTCCATCCAGCGCCACTACATCGAGCTGGAACATGAACAGCGTGAACTACTGAGTGCAGGTTACTACCTTTTGCCACTACAGTAGAATTGATGAACAACAATGATTTTCATCACTACTGTCAATCCATGTCTTGCACTTTAGTTGAAAAGGTACTACAAAGACCTTTTAACTGAGGGGCCGTGTCAAACTACATGCTTCACTTCCTGCGTTTGTGTTGCATGTATGTTCACTACTGCAGGCCTTGAGCTCACTACATTGCATGAGTCAAAAGGTTGGCAGCTGCAGACTACATTGGTTGACTTTTTGTTTGAACGCTACAGCACTTGCACTTGTAAGTAAAAGTCGCAACCGATTTTAGCGTTTCTCTCTTTCTCTCTATCCGTCCATCCGTCCATCTGTCCTTCCGTCCCTCCGTCCATCCGTCCATCCGTCCATCCATCCATCCGTCCATCCATGATCATGATCATGACCATTGTCTTCTGGATTTTCTTCTTTTTCGTTCTTCATCATTTGGGTTTGATTTATGATTGTTTTGTGCTCACCCTCTTTAGCCTCGTCTGGAAAACCGCTGGTGGCTTTGACTCGATCTTCAAGCTTCTGATTGCTTTTGCGTTCTTCGTGTGTGCTTTGTTTTTCCGTGTGTCTCGAACCTTTGCTTCGGTCCCTACGCCTCACGCCTTTGTTGCCTCTCCTCGCGACTGCATTTTACTCAGGAGACGGCAAGGGCTGGTCCGGTGGCAGCACCAGACCTGATGGCGAGGCCAGGCGTGTTAGTCTGTCCATCCTCTCTCGAACTCGGGAGACTCGGAGGCCAACCAGCCTGCAAACATCAAGGAGAAGCGACCCAAGGTCTTCCTAGAGGTGCGCACCTGGAGACTCGAGTGTTGCAGTGCATATGTTGTGTGCGTTCGTCGAGGTCGAGCTGCACAAGCGCCAGCTGGGTCGCATCGTCCTGGAGCTTTTCGGGGACGTGGTCCCCAAGACGGTGGAGAACTTCCGCTGCCTTTGCACGGGCGGCGCCCTGAGTGCCGGTCCCCGACCTCGACGCCGATCGACCTCGACCGACTCCGTCCGACTTCGTCCGACTCGAGGTGAGAAGGGCATCAGCGCAGTCTCTGGCAAGCCGCTGAGCTTCAAAGGGAGCAGGCCAGGAACGGCCAGGAACGGCCAATGGCCAGGATGCGGACGAAGGGTATTGGATGCGGACTTTTTCCCCTGCAGGTTTCACAAAATCATTCCAGGCAAGATCATACAAGGCTGGGTGCAGATGCGTTGGTTTCTTTGCAAGTTGCGTTGACCTGCTCAGGTGGTGACATTACAAAGGGAGATGGATCAGGGGGTGACTCCATCTACAATCAGGACAACATTTAGGCTTCCCCAAGCTTCGTCTTGAGTCCCTTTTTGGCTTACATGCAGGATGGAGATGGTACCTTTGGATGTGAAAACTTCAAGGTGAAGCACGATAGACCCGCCCTCGCCTGCGCCCAGACTCATAATCTCTTCAATTGGAATGTGCTGTTTCAAGGTCTCCATGGCACACAAACGTGGCCAAGAAGGTAAGAACTGCTCGCAGTTCTTCTTCACCTCCAAGGTGAGCCAGACTGAAACAGCGAGCTCAGATGAGATGAAAGCCACAGGGAGATTACTCTGCGCAGTTTGCTCAACAGGCGGAGCCCAAGCTGGATGGCAAGCACACCGTGTTCGGGCGGGTCATTGAAGGCCTTGACAAGCTGTCCAAGGCAAGACACGAGACACGCGCTGAGAGCATGTCGTGAAATGTGTCCTTTTCGTTTCTCAGAGCTTCTGGCTTTGCTCAGCTCGAGTCTATGGGCACGAAGGGTGGAACTCCTCTCTTTGAGGCGCGTGTCAGTTTCATTTGGTTCGGTCGGCAGTCGCGGCTTCAGTTTGAAGGCAGTCATCTCGGACTGCGGCGAGCTCGAGTCGGCTTGCATGGGCGCCCGCAAGCGGAAGATGGAGCAGGCCCGGCAAGGTGACATAGGTGACTCAAATCTTCGGAAGCCCCAAGACTTTTAAGTGGGAAGGTGCCATTGCCTCCGGGCTGGAAGCAGAAGGAGTCCCGCTCCAAGGTGAGCCCCCTCTCTTCCCTTGGCTTTGGCTTCATCCAGTGCAGAGCTTGCCGTGCTTTCTTTTTTTCTTCAGCTGGATGTTTTTCTCCCCAAATCAGGGATCTTTGTTTTGGTGTTTAGCAGGAAGCCGGGGAGGGAGAAGCCAGAGGTGTTTGCTGTTGCCACGCAGCTCAAAGGGAGGGGCGGGCCCGGCATGGCAAGCCTCAAGGAGCCGCTGCTGCCCAACAGGCCTGGGCCTCCGGGCCTCCGGGCCTCCGGGCCTCCGGGCCTTCGGCTCGATCTCGCTTGAGAGCTCGATCTTGCGAGCGCTTGGCTTGGCGTCAGGAATGTCGTGCCGAAGGCCGTCAGGCGCCGGTGTTTTGCATTCTCTTGGGCCCTGCCCCAGGGTGCGAGCGCAGTCCAGACTGCACTCGCCTTTGCCGTCTTCATTGCCGTTAGAAGTTTCCATCCAGTGTGAGCCTCATGCCTCGCCCATGCTATGCCCATGCCATGCCCATGCCATGCCCATGCTCAGATCATCATTGATATCTCAAAGACGGATGGCAAGCTTCCATACGGCAAGGCTGGGTGGCAACGCATTGCGCACCCTGAATCTACAATGAGAACATGCTAGGCCACCCCATGCGTGGTGAATTCGGCTGTTGACATTGCCATTGGTGCAGCTGGCCCGCTTGTTGTTTCCGGGTGTTGAGATCAAGTTGAGCACTTCGCCACGCTGGCTCAAGACCAATGAAGGGGAAAAGCGCAGAATGCGCTATCCTAGAATTTGAATTGCAAGAGCTGCGGGAGGAGCTGCGCAGTTATGACCAGCAGCTTCCTTGCTGGTCGGCTGAGGTGGCAGCTGCGGAAGCTTGGGCAGAACAACTAGAGCAAGAAACAAAGGAAGATAGGTCTCACTCTGAGTTTGCAGCGGCCAGTTTCGGAGGGATTTCGCCAGCCAGCAGTGAAGGTGAGCGAGACTACGCGGAGGCACAGGCGCACGAAGTGGGCTTTGTGACGGACAGCCATCCGCTGCATTTCGCGGGCCACGCGAGCCATGCGCGGCATGCGGCGCTGAGTGCGGAGCTGACCCGGCGGGAGTCGTCCACGCGCTTCCTGCGCCAGGCCAGCGCGCGCGTGGCCTCGGAGGCCGTCGGCGCCGCGCGGGCGGAGGCCGGGGAGCTGCGGGCGGCGCTGGCGGAGGCGGAGGCGGAGGCCGCGGCGCTGACGGCGCAGCGCGAGGCCGCTCAGGCCCAGGAGGCGCCGCTGCGCCAGTGGGTGGCGAACGTGGAGGCCCAGGTGGCCGAGGCCCGGCGCGAGAATGCGCGCTTGGCCGGCGCCCTCACCAACGCCCTGGCCTTCCAAGAGGCGTCCTTGGCCGAAGAAGTCGGAGTTGGTGGAGTCCGAGGCGTGGACCCGGTGCGCCAGGCGCAGGTCCGAGCTCGGAAGGCAAAGCTCCGGGAGGAGATCGCTGCGGAAGAGCGGCGCCGGGACCAGTTCCTCCGCGAGGCTGCATTGGCCTCGGCCTCGGTCGCCTCCCCGCCCCGGGCCCAGCCAAAGGCGCTGAGCCCGAGCCCCACGCGCGTGGCCCTGCTCTATTCCAGTCCCGCGAGGTCCGGCTCTGACGCAATAGAATCCCTGGAGCACAGCGACGATGACCTGGAATACTGGAGCAGCGGTTGGGAAAGTGAGAAACAAAGCTGATGGAGCCTTGAGCATGTTTTGATCAAGTCAGAGTTGAGCGGTAGTCTTGAAAGCCACAACAACCAGCTGCCAGTGCGGCATGGTGCTACAACGATGTCAGGCAACACACTGGCACTGCTCTTCGGAGGAATGGATGGCTTGAAGCAGTGCTGGGACCCGGTGCCACTGAAGGCATGCGCTTGACTAGCGGCAAGACATGTCGTGTCTCTGCATCTGACCCAGATCTTCAGTGCCATTGCGGTGGTGTATGCATTTGGTGCCCTGGCATTCAGTGTCACCGTAAAACCCCTTCACCATCACTCGACACGAGCTAAGGAGACTTTCTTGAGATGCAGTCAATGGCTGTCATGGGGGGTGCTGCGTCCAACACTCAGAAGACTCAAGCAAGGACCAGCAACGTCTCGTGCTTCATGCAACTCATGAAACTCATGCTGGAAATGTGCAGGTATCAGATCTTGCTTCAGAGCAAGTTGCTTGTCACAGCCCTCATCATGTGGGGCCTGCGCGGCCAGCGCCAAACCACTCTGCAGTGGAATGTACTAGGCAGGGTTGCTGGGGGTTGCTGGGTTGCTCAGCGTTCCAGACAAGATCAGCTCCAATGCTTGGTCAGTGGAGTAGCGGGTTGCACTCAGCGCTCTGATCATGTCGACTTTGGCGATGATGTCATACACAAGTTACACAAGCCTTTAAGCCGAAGCAAACTCTTTCATGGAAATCAGGGAGATTGGTCTTGTTCGCTGCCTGCCCACGGTACAGTGTTTGGACGCGAGCCACTGTTCAGGGGAAAAGAGAAGATCCTAAGCTTGTTCCTGCTCTTTGATTTGAGCATGCAACGCCTTGCTTTGTGAATACTCTTTGCTTTTCTTGCCAGTCACCATCGCCCTGGGCATGAGCGCATTCGTGCTGTCAGAAGACAGCAGCGACGAGGCATGAGCCTGTTGTTTGTGCAAGAGAGCATACTCGAAGGACGTGTCGCGTGCGATGGAATGCACATCTTACTGCAGCCCATGAAGAAGCCAGAAGGTAAGACACAGACTCCAACTCACACTGGGGGCTTGAGACAATTGAGCTCAATTCGGAAGCACTTCAACGCGTTTCTGTTCGAAGCTTGGCAGTTGGCTTTCAAAAGTCGACTCATGCGGTCTTTGCCTACAAGTGAAAGCAAAGGGAGCAAACCAAGCGGCAGCCGCCCTCGTCTTGGCCATGGATCCCCGCGCGCGTTTGGAAGCGTCGCTGGGTCTTCACCAGGCCAAGATCGAGACGCTGCGTCAGCTGGAGAGCCGCCTGGATGCCCGTATCGCCCGGCTTGGCGAGCTGAGCGTGGCTGCGAAGATGCTCATCGACTCCATCATGGCCAACCCCTTCCTCGCGCAGCCGCCCGAGCCCGAGCCGCCCGAGCTGCTCCAGCCCGAGCCGGACGCGCCCGAAGAGACAAGCGGGATCCGGACAGACGGCGACAGGGCGAGCCCGGTCGCCAGAGGTGGCCGGAGCGCGTCTCGGCTCGTCCGCAGGTCGGTGTCTTGGATGAGCGAGCCACACGAGGAGGTACCTTTGCACCACAAGGAGGACATGACGATTCCTGCTCATGGGCACTGGGTGCCCACGGATGTGCTGGAACGGCGGTCCTCTTTTCAGGGGCAAGCTGCGCAAAAGCTTGGCGGCAGACAAGTGGAACTGCAGGCTGGAAAGCTAGGTTCTGTCTCTTGTATCTTAGTCGAACCCATGGGGAAGCTTCTGAGTGCAGACTTCATAAGCACTGGTGTCACTATTCTTTTTCAGGGTCGTCGCCCTGACAAGCCAGACAAGAGCATGGATGAATGGGTTCAAGTGCTGAAGCGAACCAAGCTGCTAGATGCGGGGGTGTCTGTGGCCTTGCCTGACATTGCGGAAGAGGTGGATTTGCAGGACCTGCATTGCCTGGTGGACGCCATCATGCAGGCCTGCCACGCGGAGCTGTGCATTCTCTGCGGCAAGGCGGGGGGCGCTCTGAAGGCCGTGGAGGTGGCGGGCCGCGATGGCCGCGATGGCCGCGTGGCGGGGGCGATCCTGCTGGCGCCCACCCAGCCGCCGCCCGTGGTGGTCTTCGGGGGCCCGGTGATGCTGGTCTGGGCGCAGGACGACAAAGACGCGCCCTTCGCACAAGCCGAGGCCTGGGCCCAGGCCCTGGCCGCCCGACAAGGCGTGGCGGTGCTGCGGGCCCCCGAGCAGGGCGGCCACGACCTGGCGCGGCTCTTTCGCAAGGACGAGAAGGCAGGGAGCACGGATGGAGAAGACGGACTCTGAAAGGAGCCAAGGAAGACGGGCTTTGAAATCGAAGCGAGTTCAAGGGTTTGCCGAGAGCGAGAGAGAGAGAGGGACGTAGATGAGTCCCCGAGTCTTGACTGTCATTCTATTGGTACCCTTTCAGACCCTGAGGCAGCCACAGATGTGCTTGCCTTTGTGGCCGCGGTGCTGCTCATTGCAGAGCTCCGAACGGGGCCCCGGGAGTCCGAGGCTGGACCCGTTCCGACAGGTCCGAAATCCAATTCAAAAGTGAAACTGCCCTCTGTGCACGCTGTCTTCGCATTTTTCTGGTGATATATGGGCTGTTTCAGGAGAAGCATACAAAGAACCAACTATGTTTTTCACTCTTTTCCAACGAAATGCAAAAAGCCTCGAAAAACCAAGCAAACAAAAAGTGTCAAGACTATGCCCCGCAAGTCAGGACAACTGACATGGTGTTGCTTCTTCTTCTGTTTGTGTTTTTTTTGTTTGTTTAGATGCTTACTGATTTGTAGGTGCACGTCTGTTGGACGTATTTCTTCCGTATCATTTATTCTGAAATAGAGTACTCATGATTTAAAGTCTACTTTGAAATAGACATTCTGGTTGTTTTTGTTGTTGTTTGTATTCTTATTAATGTCTATTTAATTTCAATTAGACATACTCAATAATCCAGGACCCCTAAGCCCCCATTGGCATGGTAGCGTGTCACGCATGTTGAGGCTTGTTAGGATTCAAGCATCGAAGAAGGTAAGTCTAAGTCCGCTGAAATCAAGGAATCCAAGGAACCTGAACTGAGGACTTAACGTCTAACTCCCCGATTCGGGGCGCTGCCTCCAGCGCCTCTGCCGCCTAGTCTCCTCCCCGGGACATGTCCTGCTAAGGCTTCTCGCTGCCGTTCGCACAGTCCCTTCTCACCTGTAACTCTTTGCAGCTCCAGCAAACCGCCGCGGTACTTCGGATCCGTGCAGTAGAAGGCAGTTCTCTTTTTGAGTGTCTCCGGCATGTTGCAACTATCATCTATGCAGGCTTTGGCAAGCGAATTGCTGGACCAC